CGGTGTTGCGTGGTGGTGGTGGGTGGGGTAGTGGGGTGGTGGTGGCGGTGCGCGGTGGTGGTGCGCGTGCGTGCGTGCGTGCGTTGGTGGGTGGAAGTGGCGGTGGGTGTGCGTGCGGCGGGGCGGGGCGTGGTGCGGCGCGGTGGTGGCGGGCGGGTGGGCGCGCGAGAAAGAAGCCCGCGCTGGGGCGAGAACGCCATCCTGAACGACTGAGGCAAAACACCGATCCGAAAATGAGGCCCACGCTGCAGCGGGAGCACGATTCGGAACGATTCGGAAACAGAAATGAGGCCGCCGCCTCAGCGAGAGCAGCACTTTGAAAAAAAACGCAGGCGAAAACCCAACTCCCAGGAATCCGGTGTGTAAAAAACAATACGCGGGGGGGGTCTACTACTCCCAGCACGCCATCAGGGGAAGACGGAGAGTAGTATTCATATTGAGTAACTGTGGAAGAGGAGGACGACGAGGAGGAGGAGGAGGAGGAGGAGGAGGAGGAGGAAGAGGAGGAGGAGGATGAGGATGAGGATGAGAAGGAGGAGGAGGAGGAGGAGGAGGAGGAGGAGGGGGGAGGAGGAGGGGAGGAGGAGGAGGAGGAGGAGGGGAGGGGAGGAGGAGGAGGGGGAAGAGGAGGTGGAGGAGGAGGAGGAGTGGAGAAGGAGAGGATACTGGGAGGAGAGGAGAAGGAGGAGGAGAAGGAGGAGGAGGAGGAGGAGGAGGAGGGAAAAAATGGAGGAAGAGGGAGAGGAGGAGGAGGAGGAGGAAGAGGAGGAGGAGGAAGGGAGGAGGGTGAAGGAGGACGAGGAGGAGGAACGGAGGGAGGAGGAGGAGGAGGATATAGGAGGAGGGAGGAGGAGAGAGGAGGAGGAGGAGGAGGAGGAGAGGAGGCAGGAATAGGGGAGGTAGGAGGAGGAGAAGGAGGAGGAGGAGGACGAGGTGGAGGAGGAGGAGTGAAGGAGGAGGAGAGGAGGAGGAGGAGAAGGGGGAGGGGGATGGGGGAGGAGGAGGAGGAGGAGGGGAGGGAGGAGGAAGGAGGAGGAAGAAGAGGAGGAGGGAGGAGGAGGAGGAGGGGAGAGGAGGAGGAGGAGGGGAGAGGAGGAGGAGGGGGCGGGCGCGGTCCGCCAGGCCTCGGCGCTGGGCCCGCCGACCCTGCCGCGCAAGAAAGCCCGCGGTGGCTGGCGCGGCCTCGAAACTGCCGCCACGTTTCCCCGCGGTGTTTACGACTGATGCCCCACTTAAGTAGCTCCTGCGCACCCCAGCAAGCGGACGGGGACGAGAGACGACGGGGCGGAGGGCAGGGGCAGGCGAGAGGAGCGAGAGAGGCCACGGATCCAGAAGAACAAGAAAGCACGAGGGGGGGGGGGCGAGGGACACAGGACAAAGGGGGGGGGGCAGGCAGGCAGCGCAGAAGCAGAAGGGGGGCGCGGTGGAGGACGACAACATATTAAAGCTCTTGGCGAGGGCTCAGCGGCGGGCCCGGCCGCGGCCGGCCCCCCTGGGCGGGGGGCGGCCGAGGCCTCGAGCGCGGGGCGGCGCTGCCGGGCAGCATCGCCGCTGTGCCGCGCGCGACGGCCGCGACCATGCGCTGCCTCGCGTCGGCGATGGCGGCGGCCCTGGTCTCGCGGTCCGCCGGCGCGTGCTCGCGCAGGAACGAATCAAACTCGCGCCCCCAGGCGGCCGCCGCTCCCCGCCATCGCGGGCCACCGAACCCAGGCCGGGGTAGCGGGAGTGCTTCGCCCGCTCCCTCTCCCTCTCCCGGGCCACTGCGCCGGCGACGCGGGCGCGGTGGCGCGCGGTCGCGCCATCGGCGGCGATGGCCTCAATCGCGCTCGTGTCCATGCGCACGCGCCCGCCTGGGTACGCCAGGACCACATCGAGGACGGCTGCTTGGGTGCCCTGCCCAAGACGGGATGCGCTGCTCAGTCGTCACGGACAGAGAGCCATGGCTCCTCCCGAGCCAGTTGCCCAACTGGTCGCGGAGGCCGTGGTGCTGGCGCGCGAAGCCAAGGCTGACGTTGCAAACGGCTGCGTGCCTGGCGTGGGGCTCCGCCATGCTGGCCTAGCCTTGCGCTCCCGTGGACTCGGCCGCGTTCTGGCACGGGGTGCCGCCCTGGCCCGCTGGGTCTCCTCCTCCTCCTCTTCCTCCTCCTCTTCCTCCTCCTCCTCCTCTCTCCTCCTCCTCCTTCCTCATCCCTCCTCCTCCCTCCCTCCCCTCCCTCTCCCTCCCTCCCTCCCTCCCTCCCTACCCTCCCCTTCCCTTCCCTCCCTCCCTCCCTCTCCCCTTCTCACTATCTCCTCCTCCTTCCTCCTCCCTCCTCATCCTCCTCCTCCCGCCTCCCTCCTCCTCCTCCTCCTCCTCTCTCCCTCCCTCCCTCCCTCCTCCTCCCTCTGCTTCTCCTCCTACTCTTCCTGAAGTGCGGGGCTGGCATAAGGGGGGACGCATTGATCTGGAACCGGCAGTACATCGCTGATAGATCGGCGACAGTCCCCCGATAGTGAATCCGCACGTTCCTGGGCAGGTTGGGGCTATCGGTCCCCTATCTGCGATCAGTGGGCGATTTGGGGTTGATGCGTCCCCCCATATGCCTCTCCCCCCCTATCGTTGCCCCTGATGTGCACACTGCCACGGGCCAATCAAGGAACCTCCCAGCCCCACAAAATGACGGGGAAAGGGAAGGGGGGTCAACGAACTTCCTTCAAAGGCAATTTCGTTGACCCCCTCTCACCTTCCCCGTCATTTTTTTTGGGGGGGAGAATTTCCCGAACATCTTCCCATATGTTTGAACAACTTTTCCAACATATAGTATTACTTCAATGATGCCGACGACAAGCTCGAACGACACCCTCCAGTGGAACCCGTACAGAACGGTCGCCGTCGCCACGGACGACCGGGTGCGGGGCGTGTTGACCACCGGACTGGAAGAGCGACGCCGGGTCGTCGTCGTCACACCGTACATCCAGCACAGCCAAAAATAGGATCAAGAAAATATCATGTGAGAAACCAGGGCCAGCTTTCTGGACATTTCTTTAAACAAACCTGGGCCAGCTTGATCTCTCACGCTGGAAGGCGAACGTGCTCAAGAGACTGGGCCAGCTTTCCGGCAAACTGCTCAAGAAGCGCTGTCTCAGCTTTTCGGGAGGAGGTTTCTGAATGATGTGCTCGACCGTATCTTCGTGCCCGTCATACTTCCTTCTCTCTTTACCGCTCGGCTTTGTTCCCCCTCCCGCCTGCGCTACCAGCGGGAGGGACCGACGGCGCCTGCAGCAAACGCAGAACGGTCCGCAGTCACGAGCCACGCAAGGGGGGGACTCAGGGTTACGTGACTGCACTGGGGCCGTGCGGGTATCTCAGCCATCCCATCCCAATGGTCAGACGGTGGGACTTCCTTACGTCAGAAGGCCTCCTCTCGGAAGCAACTTCCCTGACATCCAGGCGTCGCAACGTGCTCCAGGCACAGCGGGCTTGCTGGCCCCGTTTCGGGCCCCGCGGCCTTCACGGATCGATGCGGCTCGAGAAAGCCCACGCGACGATGCAGCCGGGGGCTCTGGGCGTGCATCTTGCTTCACGACGTCGGGGTGCTGGGCAACGTGCCCCGCGGGGGCAGGAAGAGACCAGATCAGCACGTTGAGCCCGGCGCGTCTTCCACGAAGTGGCAGCACGCGGACGTGCACAGCATGTGAGTGAAGAGGGCCTGGGGACGGACCGTTGACAAGGTAAGTGTCGACAAAGTGCATGAGGATCAGGAGAAGTAGGCATTCGAGACGGCGGGGGGGAATACATACACGTAATACATGTAATTACGCTTATTTTCGTTGTAGCCATCTCTCCGAGCCTGGTCGGTCTCGCCGGGGCGGTGGGCTGGCCCGAACGCAAGCGGGGCGGCGCTGCTCAGGAAGGCGAAGATCCTGAGGCGAACAGCGATGACGAGGAAGGGGGGGAGGGGGGCGGCAGAAGGAGGAGGAAGAAGAGGAGGCGGAGGAGAAGATAGAGGAGGAGGAGGATGAGGAGGACCAGTGTAAACCCAAGACTTATCAACGATGTTGAAATACATTATCCCCCCGATATCCCTTTTCGTAGGCCGCTATAGGGGGCCATTTCCACTGAGGGAATTGCCCCGTTGGGGAACAACTGTGTGCACATCTTGAAACGTGCCAAAACACCATTGTCAGGACTTCAACGCCACACATTGACCTGACTGTTGCGTCTTGGCAGTCCAGAGCCGTGCCAGAACACCATTCCTGGGACGTCAACGCCGCAAATCAATGTAACTGTTGCGCCCTGACAGTCCTGAAGTGTTCCAACACATCATTTCTGGGACGCTAACCATGGGAACCACTGACTCCCTTGAATCTGTTTAAGACGAATGTGCGCAGCGCTAAAGAGATAGCCCCACATTTTGAAAACGAACCGCCCTTAATCCGTGAAACTCTTGAAACATTTGAAAGACGGATGTGAGCTGCGCTAGGGCGAGACCACACGTTGAAAATGACCCGCCCTCAATCCGTGAAGGTCTTGCAACATTGTAAAACGAATGTGCGCGGCGCTAAGGCGTGAACCACCTTTTGAAAACGGCTCGCCCTCAATCCGTGCAGCTCTGGCCAATATTTGAAACGAGTGTGCGCGGCGCTAGGCGATAGGCACATTTTGAAAACGATCCGTCCTCAACCCGCGAAACTCTTGCAATTTTCGAAAAAGAATGTGCGCAGCGGTAAGTCGACAACCGCATTTTGAAATCGAACTGCCTTCAGTCCGTGAAACTCTTGCAATTTGTTCAAACGGGTGTGCGCGGCGCTAAGGCGAAAACCATATTTTGAAAACGGCCCGACCTCAATCCGTGAAGCTCTTGCCAATTTTAAACGAATGTGCGCGGCGCTAAAGCGAGAACCACATTTTGAAAACGAACCGCTCTCAATCCGTGAAGCTCTTGCAATTTCATATAATGAATGTGCGCGGCGCTACGGCGTGAGCCACCCTTTGGAAGCGACCCGCCCTCCACCTGTGAAACTGTTGTCAATTTTCATGCATCAGGGTCATAAGTGATCCGAAAGTCTCAAGCGAAACGCCCCGCCCGCCTTTTCGACCGGCCTCGGGGTGCGACAGGGAGGATTTATCGAACAAGAAATGGGATGGAAGAGGAGGAAAAGGAGGAGGAGGAGGAGGAGGAGGAGGAGGAGGAGGAGGAGGAGGAGGGAGGAGGGAGTAGGAGGAGGAGGAGGAGGAGGAGGAGGAGGAGGAGGAGGAGGAGGAAGGAGGACCAGTGTAAACCCAAGATTCATCAACGATGCTGGAATACACCTTCCCGCCAAAATTCCTCTTCACAGGCCCTTGCAAAGGGTCATTTCCACTGAATGAGTTGCCCCGTTGGGGGACAACCGTGTGAACATTTTGAAGCGTGCCAGAATACCATTCCCAAGGCTTCAACGTCACGAATTCACCAGACTGTTACGTCTTGCCAGTCCTGACACGTGGCAGAACACCAATCCTGGGACTTCAACACCGCGAATCAGCGCTGTTGCGTCCTGACAATCCTGAATCGTTCCGACACATCAGTTTTTACAACGAATGTGCGCGGCATTAAAGCGAAAACCACATTTTACCTAACAGCGAAGACTGACAGGTTTCTAGTAGTGTCAAAAAGTAGTGTCACAAGAGAGCATCTTGACTCCCCAGGGGGGTCTGGGCGGGTGCCGGGGAGAAGCCGTGGAAGTCGTTTTAAGCAAACAAGTACACACCTCGTGGTCTTCGAGGTACCAGAACTCCATTCCCGGGCCACATTCTGAATGCCCGGAGCCATCTGTAGGCCACTTCGTGGTCTTCGAGTTCCCAGAACTCCTTTCCCGGGCCACATTTTGAATGCCCGGAGCCAACTGTAGGCCACTTCGTGTTCTTCGAGTTCCCAGAACTCCATTCCTGGGCATGATTTTGAATGCCCGGAGCCAACTGTAGGCCACTTCGTGGTCTTCGAGTTCCCAGACCTCAATTCCTGGGCATGATTTTGAATGCCCGGAGCCAACTGTAGGCCACTTCGTGTTCTTCGAGTTCCCAGAATTTCATTCCCGGGCCACATTTTGAATGCTGAGGCAGGCTGATGCTGAGGCTGAGGCAGGCTGAGGCTGAGGCAGGCTGAGGCTGAGGCTGAGGCTCATGCAGGCTGAGGCTGAGGCAGGCTGAGGCTGAGGCCGAGGCTGAATGCAGACTGATGCTGAGGCTGAAGCAGGCTGAGGCTGAGGCTGAGGCAGGCTGATCTGAGGCTGAGGCTGAGGCTGAGGCTGAGGCTGATGCAGGCTGAGGCTGAGGCAGGCTGAGGCTGAGGCCGAGGCTGAAGGCAGGCTGTGGCTGAGGCTGAGGCTGAAGCAGGCTGAGGCTGAGGCTGAGGCAGGCTGATCTGAGGCTGAGGCAGGCTGATACTGAGGCAGGCTGAGGCTGAGGCTGTGAGGCTGAGGCAGGCTGAGGCTGAGGCAGGCTGAGGCTGAGGGCCGAGGCTGAAGGCAGACTGAGGCTGAGGCTGAAACAGGCTGAGGCTGAGGCTGAGGCAGGCTGAGGCTGAGGCTGAGGCAGGCTGATGCTGAGGCAGGCTGAGGCTGAGGCTGAGGCTGATGCAGGCTGAGGCTGAGGCAGGCTGAGGCTGAGGCCGAGGCTGAAGGCAGACTGAGGCTGAGGCTGAAGCAGGATGAGGCTGAGGCTGAGGCAGGCTGAGGCTGAGGCTGAGGCAGGCTGATGCTGAGGCAGGCTGAGGCTGAGGCTGAGGCTGATGCAGGCTGAGGCTGAGGCAGGCTGAGGCTGAGGCCGAGGCTGAAGGCAGACTGAGGCTGAGGATGAAGCAGGCTGAGGCTGAGGCTGAGGCAGGCTGAGGCTGAGGCTGAGGCAGGCTGATGCTGAGGCAGGCTGAGGCTGAGGCTGAGGCTGATGCAGGCTGAGGCTGCGGCAGGCTGAGGCTGAGGCCGAGGCTGAAGGCAGACTGAGGCTGATGCTGAAGCAGGCTGAGGCTGAGGCTGAGGCAGGCTGAGGCTGAGGCTGAGGCTGAGGCTGATGCTGAGGCAGGCTGAGGCTGAGGCTGAGGCTGATGCAGGCCACTGCGACTGTCATCGCGAATGCGACTACGACTGCGAGAACAACAGAATTCTACAACTGGATTCTCATCTGAATCTTAAGGGGAATGCTTCCAGCTATGCTCCTACACATCGCTGTTTGGTTGCTTCGCTGGGATAATTTAAACAAATCTTGCAATGCATTGCAACGAATGTGCGCGGCGCTAGGGCGATAACCGAATTTTTGAAACGATCCGCCCTCCATCTGTGAAGCTGTTGTCAACTTTAAAGTCTCAGGCGAAACGTCCGGCCCGCCTTTTCGACTGGCCTCGGGGTGCGACAGGAAGGACATATCTATAAGGGAATGGATCAGAGAAGGAGGAGGAGGAGGAGGAGGAGGAGGAGGAGGAGGAGGAGGAGGAGAAGGAGGAGGAGGATGAGGGGGGGGGAGGAGGAGGAGGACGAGGAGGAGCAGGAGAAGCAGGAGGGGGGGGGGGAGGAGGTCGAGCGTGCCTAAAGGCGTTCATCCACCAGCTCCACGGGCCTCAGCCGCCCGCGATCGAGCACTCAGGCTGCGACCAGCGCCGAGACGTGAGCCTGGTGGGGGGGGGGGGAGGAGGAGGCGGATGGGGGCGGGTGCGAAGCTCCTCGCGAGGACGCGGGTGTGCGCGTCGAGCAGGCCGCTGATGTCGGCGACCAGTATGCACGTCCGCCGCAGCGAAGCCGCGGCCTGCCGGCACCAAGCGAGCGGGAGGCAGGCAGACGGCCGGAGAGCCGGACGGGAGGGACACGGCGGCTGCGGTGGGGGCATCGTCGGGAAGTCTTCGGACCTCGGACCCGACGTATCGCTGAGATCGGCGTGGATCACAGGGAATCGGCGGGATCGCGGGGAATCGACGGATCGAGGATTAAAGTCGTCGGGCGTCGCGGGCATTGGGGAGCGCGTCGGGATCGCGGAGCATCGACAGATTCCAGATCGCGGGGAAAGCGCCCGCCCTGTACCTCGCCGTGGCGGGTTGGCGCCGCCAGCGCTTCTCTTTGCAAGATTGAGCCAAAGTTCCTGACGGTAGTGCAGCTGGAGGCCGTCTTCACGCGCCAAGGCGTTGTCCACTACACGTTCTTGCTCGGCAGGGCCGTCCTCAAGAGCCGGGACGCGGCTCGACGGCTCGTGCGGGCCTCCAGTGCGCGCGGCAGCACGGACGAAAACGACGACGACGACCTGGACGACCCTGGCGCGGACGACGGCCTCGAGGCCTCTTTTGCCTGGCCAGGCCCAGCCCGACAGCCAGCCAGCCTCAAGCTGGACGTTTGGGTCCCCCCCCCCCGGCCGTCTCGTTAAGACTGCACGCCGGTGGCAGCCCCCGCCCTCCTCTGAGGTCCGACGTTGCAGAACAATTGCAACATGGCAAAGCATCGCGACCAAAGCCCAGGACCCCATCTCTCTGCGTCACTTTTCCGAACCGGACCGATCTGTGAGGGTCCCGGGGCCCGAAATGGAGCGAAAACGCCGGCTGTGAACAAGTTGCATCGCCAGGATCTCAGGGACGGGCTGCGTTCCAAGGGCGCTCCCCGCCGCGCGAGCGCGCGAGGAGCGTGCGGACGGCGCCTCGCCTCGGCGCAGAGGCTGTGTTCAGCGACCCCTCTTCGGCCGCGCAGCAGTTTTGTGGTTTGGATCCCAGCGGAGCGGCGAGAAGAAGCGGGCCTTCCGCGAGATGGCATGGGCGATTTCGGAAACCCTGGACCCCAAAAACGCTTTCATCTCTCGGGGGCGCATGTCTTACTTCCGCCGCCTTCCGCGGAGCTTCCGCCGGCTTCCGCCAGCGCAGGCGGCCTCGTTTCACTTCCGCCGACCTTCCCTTCCGCCGCCTTCCGCTGCGGAAGAGATGACAACTCCTGCGATCCTCGAAGGCAAGGCCATGTTTGGAACGCGTCACATATCGGCTGCACGCAAGAGTGGCCCTAGGCAAGAGTAACCTTTAGTGCGCAGATGAAGGGGGCGCAGGGTGGCCAAACCCAAGCGCGCAAGCAACCACTATCGCATCGCGCTCATCGACCGAAGGGGCCCCGATGCGCCCGCACCAAACGCTACTCTGGCGAAGGGTCACTCTTGCGCGTAGTCGAACATAGCGACCTTACGCCGCGGCTCACGCGGGCCGCCAGCGTAACACGCTTCATGGGAAACGACTACGCTTGCGCGCCATCCTTCGCAAAAAAGCTTGCCCGCGAGCGCCGGCGCAGTCGGACCCGCTTTTCTGCGTCGCTCAGCCGGCGCTGGTGGGTGGCCCCAGCCCCGCCGCGCCCCTCCAGGCCGCTTCAGCGCTGCGCTTCCTCCTGCCGCTGCTCCCGGGCGTGCCCCCCCGGGGCGGTCCGGTGCCTCCTTCCCCGCGAGGCGGTGGCAGTGGCGTGGCCCCCGTCGCCGCCCCATGACGGCGCCGCGCGGCCGCGGGAGGCCGCGTTCGACGGCGGCTCCGGGCGCTTCGACGGCAGCGAGGCGAGCGCGGCGCGGGCGCCATGCTGTGGCGCCGCCGCTTCGGCGGGGCTCTCCCCGCCGGGCCCCGGTCGCAAGCAGCAGAGGCCGGCACAGCCTCGGCCTGCTGCACGGGTTGCCGCTGCCCTTCCGCCTCGCCCGCGTGGCCTGCGATTTTGACTTTCGTGAAGCGTGCGCTTGATTCGTCCATGTCGTTAAGCCCCCCATCTGAACCAACAAAGCTGGTTTCTGCTGAGACGTCCTCACGATTCGCTCTTAAACTGGCCACGGCGTGCAGGTGGACGCTGGCGGTGTGCTGCCCGCGCCGAGGCGAGAGCGCCGTTTGGACGGACTTTCGGCCATTGTACGGAAGTTCGGCCCGAATAATACGGAGCCAGCACAGGCCGTTATCGGCGCTCGGAGCTCCAGGCCCTGCTCGAAGAAGGGTTGGTACCTCTCGCAGCCGAGGGCTGGATCGCCAAGTTCCAAACCGTCCACCGCAAGCTCCACGGAGGCGCTGACGCCCTCGCCACGGAGGGCGTCGAGTGGGCTGCGCAGCTGCGCGCCCACGGCGACCTGAGGGCGATCTGAGGGTGCAGTCGCGCGCCAGGTCGCTGCAGCGCGCCCTGGAGCGGCGACGAGCAGGACGATGTGCACCGACGGCACGGCGCTCCACAGCAGGACGGGCTGTGCCGCCACACCTCGGTGGCGCCACCCTGTAAGTCCTGGCGCGGGCCGACTCGGACGTGCACAGCCGCGCCGCGCGACGGGTACGGGCGCTGAGTGCCGAGCGGCGCGACGGGGACCAGCGAAGGGGTGCAGGGCAGAACGCCGGGCGCCAGCACGATGTTCACCAGCAGGACTGCGTGCGTCACCGCGACTCCTCGGTGTCGCGGTGTTGGCCCCTGCGGTTGCTGATCGGCCCACGTGCTTACTCGTGCTGCTTTTGCCATCCAGTGGCGCGCAGCGCGACGGTCGAGTTCCAGCACGATGATGCCGGAACAAATCGCTAAACATCAGGCGGGCGTGCACCGCCATTGCTTGTTGGGTCATTTTGTTTGTCATCGCGGTGGTGCAATGGCCCAGGACAGCCATTCCCTGGCGCACTGCATGATGGCTGCCAGCACCACGAGGCAAGGCGTCACTACGAGTATCCGATGAGCGGCGCTGAGCAGCACGCTGGCGAGTGACGAGGGCAAATCGACGCTGGCGAGGCGCCCATCCCTCATCACCTCCAACTTCCGCGTCATCACCTGCTGCACCATTACAGATATGACGCAGGAGCGGCATCAAGCTGCAGCACGCATCCACCAGCGTGGCTGGCTCAACGAGTGCCTGTGACCAGCGGCACCTTGTCGACGACGACCACAAACTCGTGCAAAATACCATGGTCGCAATCACTAGCACACCCGTCAGCGCGACAAGCCTGAACATTGTCTGTGGGGCCAGAGAAAAGACGCTGACCGCGGACGGCGAGTATAACTAATCGGGACACTCAAAAGTTGGTTCAGCACAGCGGCCACACGTACCAGCATCTCCACACATGTGACTGGCTCGACGAGTATGGGCGGGACCAGCGGCACGTCGTTGATTCCGAATTAAAGCTCCAGTGCAGGCACCACGGCCGCAAGTACCGAAGCACCCATGTATGTAACCAACTTGACAGATATCATGGGAACCGACGGCACGTCGATAACAACGACCCGTAATGGGTGACCACGCGGTGTCACCCGTTGCAGCCACTGCGGAGGCGAGAGCCGCGTCGCTGCCAGCGCTACCACATTGCCCGCCACGAACGATTCGAGCAACACGTCGCCATCCAGCCCTACGCGATCGAGTCGAGCACTACAATGCTGTCCACCACGACGGAGTTGACCGCCTCGCCAGTGTGCCACGTCTACGCGCAGCTGAGCTCAAAAGCTCTCTGGGTTTTGCATACATTCCTTCCGCCTCCTGCCCCTCCCCCTCATCTCCCCCCTCTCCTCCGCCGCCGGCAAGGGTCGTTTGATTTTCCGGGTCAGGGCTGGTTTCGCAGCCGCGTCCCTCCGTGCAGGCTGGGGCGCTCCAGGGAGAGTGTGCTCGAGCCCGGACGACGCCATTGCTTCGCGTCGCAGTGCCGATTCTGCAACTCAAGCCCCCGCAGGGCCGTGGGGCACAGTGCTCTGATCTTGCCAACGTTCCCCAATGCCGACCCTGCGAGGCAGCCACGCGGACGACTCCAGAAGCCTTCTGTGCACTGGCATCGGGGACGCGTGAGAGTGGCCCTAGGCAAGAGCGACCTTTGGTGCGCGGCTTGCCAGCCGCTGCGCGCGGCGTCACATCAGCGACCTGCGTGCTTGGGCTTGGCCCCGCAGCGCCCGCCGAAAGCCGCGCACCAGAGGTCACTTCGGCGAAGGCGCACTCGTGCGTGCAACCGATGGCGTTGACGTGTCTTGGGGAAGGGTCTTTTTCGCCAGCCTTCCGCTGGCAACACCGCTTAACTTCGCACTGGCTTCCGCTGGCCTTCGGCCGACCTCCGCCGCGGGCGAGAGGTCAACCCGTTGGTCCGATGAAGGCGAAGTCCTCGGCGTCATGATTTTCCGCACTGTCGACCCCCAGAAAATCTCGATGCATTCCCAAGGACTAGTTTTTTCCCACATCCACAATGGGGTTCTTGTTTTCTTTTGACACCCTCCGCGCATGAACCTCAATCCCACTATCTCCCACCCTCCGCCTCACTCACGCATTCACCCCGTCATCGGTCATCATCACCATCGGTCATCATCGTCACCACCACCATCATCTTCATACTCAGTCACTCACAATCGATGACCATCACTATCTGCCATCGGTCGTCCTCATCATCAGCATCACCACCACCGCCATCATCATATTCAGTCGCACATCGCACACACACACACACACACTCTCTCTCTCTCATCATTCATCATCATCAAGCGGGAGCTTCGTCTGTGAGTGAATTGTGAGGAAGTCTCAGGCGGGAACCCCTTTCCTATGCGGCCCGCACTTAATGTTGGTAATCCGAATGGGTCATCCATCCTCAAATCTGGAAATATCGTCACTTTTTGCGCTCCTGAGGTCTGAATATGGGGGAAGTACCAGGCGGGAACCTCATTTGTGAGTGAACTGTGAAGAAATCTCAGGCGGGACCCCCCTCCCCATGGGGCCCGCGCTTCCTGATAGTAATCCGAACGGGTCATCTTCGAACCTGTAACTGTCGTCACTTTTGGGCTCCTGAAGCCTGAATATGGGGAAGTATCAGGCGGGGGCCTCGTCTGCCAGGCGGGAGCCACCTCCTTATGGGGCCTGCGCTTCATGTTGGCCATCCGAGCGCGTCTGTGAGTGAACTGTGAGGAAGTCTCAGGCTGGACCCCCCTCCTATGGGGCCCGCACTTCCTGTTGGTAATCCGAACGGGTCATGCTCAAATCTGTAACTGTCGTCACTTTTGGGCTCCTGAGGCCTGAATGTGGGGAAGTATCAGGCGGGAGCCTCGTCTGTGAGTGAACTGTGAGGAAGTCTCAGGCGGGAGCCCCCTCCCTACGGGGCCCGCGGTTCATGTTGGTAATCCGAGCGGGTCGTCCTCGAACCTGTAACTGTCGTCACCTTTGGGCTCCTGAGGCCTGAATATGGGTGACGTATCAGGCGGGAGTCTCGTCTGTGACTGAACTGTGAGGAAGTCTCAGGCGGAAGCCCCCTCTCTATGGGGCCCGCGCCTCTCGTGCTTCCTCTGGGTCGTCCTCCGGCGCGCGCTTCCTTTGGGTCGTCCTCCGGCGCGCATCCGCCGGGACGCACGTCGTGCGCTTCCCCTGGGTCGTGTTCCGCACGAGGAGGAGGAGGAGGAGGAGGAGGAGGAGGAGGAGGAGGAGGAGGAGGAGGAGGAGGAGGAGGAGGAGGAGGAGGAGGAGTTGGAGAAACAGGAGGGGGACTAGAGGAGGAGTACGAGGACGATGAGGAGGACGAGGAAGAGAAGCAGGAGGTGGACTAGAGGAGGAGGAGGAGGAGGAGGAGGAGGAGGAGGAGGAGGAGGATGGGGAGGAGGAGGATGAGGAGGAGAAGGGGGGGAGGGGGAGGGAGGGAGGAGGAGGAACTCGTCGTTCAGGCCTCCCCGCGCTGCTAGGCTGCCGCCGAGGAGCGCCAGCAGCAGCAGTAGTTGCAGCAGCAGCAGCAGCAGCAGCAGCAGCAGCAGCAGCAGCAGCAGCAGCAGCAGCTTGAGCTCGTGACCGAACCTGGCCGATCGGTACAAGCGTCGTCGTCGTCGTCGTCGTCGTCCGAGGAGGAGGTGAAAGAGGAAATCCAGGAAGGTAAGCCCAGCACCATCGCCGGTGCTGCAAGACACGATCACGTCCCAGCTCCCCTCCTTCCTTCTCCTCCTACTCCTCCTCGATCCTCCTCTCCCGTCCCCCCATCATGGATTCGCTCGCTTCCTTCATCCTCTCCTCCTCCTCCCTCCTCTCCTTTCCTCCAACCCCCTCCCTCCTCCTCCTCCTCCTCATCCTCCCTCCCCTCCTCCTCCTCCCTCCTCCGCCTCCTCCTCGTCCCTCTCCTCCTCCTCCTCCTCCTCCTCTTCCTCCTCCCTCTCCTTCTCTCCTCCTCCCTCCTCTCCTCCCCCTCCCATTCCCCCACCTCCTTCCTGCCTCCTCCCCTCTCTCCTCCTCCTCCTCCTCCTCCTCTCTTGTAACTCGATAAGGCCACAGGTGTTACTTCCCACGGCTAGAGGCGTGCTCCAGAAGGGAGAGGGTTCCATGGGCCTGCCACATGGGTCAGTACCTTGGGACGGACTGGAATGGTGATGGCCACCATGGGGCGCCACAAGGAGGGCGTCGTCTACGGCAAGTTCGCGCCGTGTCGACCGGCAGCGACCCCAGCGCGTGCGTTGAAGGTTGAACGCTGCCCGTGGCCCAGAATCGGCCCGTCGTTAATCGATCCGACGTTAATGGAACGGCCGATCGTTCAAGTTTGAACAATCCTTGCGGTGTCAGGAACTAACGCCAGGGTCGACACAAAGCGAACATGTCGTACGCCGAACCAAAGGGTTGAACTCTCCAGAAATGCTCACGTGGAGGAGCAAATATCCTGGCGAAGGACCCAACCAGATGCAGTTGTGAGTAGCGAAGTTCTGAACATCATCTTCGGTGGAGCTCCCTATTGGGTCGCGAAGCGTGTAAGGAGTGCGCCGAGATGGCCCGAGGCCGCAATGCGGACTCTGCCACTGGAGCCTTCGGCGGAGCTCCCTATGGGGCCACGAACCGCGTGAGGGGTGCGCCGAAATGGCCCAAGCCGCCATGCGGGCCCTGCCAAGAGGGCCTTCTGCGGAGCTCCCATGGGGCCGCGAAGCGTGTGGAGGGTGTGCCGAAATAACCCAAGGCCGCCATGCGGACCCTGCCACTGGGCCCGTGGGTTGAGCTCCTTCTGGGGTCACGAACGTGTGATGGGTGCGCCGACACGGGGCGGGGCCGCCGTGCTGACGATGCTGGCAATGACGATGATCTGGATGATGGCGATGGCGGTGATGGTGACCATGAAATTGGTGATGATGACATGCGGAGGGCAGAGGCACGTATGGGAGGAGGGAGGAGGGCAGCGGGAGGGAGTGACGCGGGGCGTTGCCTCTTCAAGGAGAGGACCCAACACCACAAGATGTGTGGGAAAAACTTGACGGAACGTTTTGTCGCCAGTGTCGGCCGCCATGGAGCCTGTGCCGGCCCCGAGGACCGTCAGCCGGCCTCCTCCTCATCCTCATCCTTTCTTCCTTTCTTCCTCCTCCTCCTCCTCCTCCTCCTCCTCCTCCTCCTCCTCCTCCTCCTCCTCCTCCCCCTCCTCCTCCTCCTCTCTCTTTCCTCCTCCTCCTCTTCCTCCTCCTCCTCCTCCTCCCTTCCTCCTCCTCCTCCTCCCTCCTCCTCCTCCTCCTCGTGCGGAACACGACCAGAGGAATGCGCACGACGTGCTCCCGGCGGATGCGCGCCGGGGAGAACGACCCAAGGAAGCGCGCGCCGGAGGACGACCCAGAGGAAGCACGAAAAAAACGCGAGGGCCCCACAAGGGAGGGGGCTTCCGCCTGAGACTTCCGCCTGGACTTCCTCCTCTCCTTATCTCCTCCTCCTTCCTTCCTCCTCCTCCTCCTCCTCCCCCTCCTCCTCCTCCTCCTTCTCTCTCCCTCCTCCTCCTCTTCCTCTCTACTTCCTCCTCCTTCCTCCTCTCCTCCTCCTCCTTTCCTCTCCTCCTTCCTCCCTACTTCTCCTCCCCCTCCCTCCTCTCCTCCTCTCCTCCTCTCCTCCTCCCTCCTCCCTTCCTCCTCCTCCTTCTCCTCTCCTCCTCCTCCCCCTCCTCCCCCCCCTCCTTCTCCTCCCCCTCCTCCTCCTCCTGCTCCTCCTCCTCCTCCTCCTCCTTCTCCTCCTCCTCCTGGCAGCGCGCAGACTGGCAGGGGGAGGGGCCGGCCCTCTTTGAGAAGGCAGGGGGTTTCCTCCCCAAAGGGGCGTAGTTTGCTCTTGGAGGCACTTTTTCGCGCTGCTCGGGGGAAGGGGCGGGGAAGGGGAATGCCGTGGCTGGCGGTCGCCCCTTTCCGCGTCCCCATCCCCCTCTCGAGCCACAGGTCACTCCAACGAAGGGTCCCTCTTACGTGTCTTCGAACCCCCTCCTCCTCCTCCTCCTCGTCCTCCTCCTCCTCCTCCTCCTCCTCCTCCGCCTCTTCCATTCCTTCTCCTTATAAATACCTTGCCCTGTCGGACCCCGACGCCAGTTTCCAGGGCCGGCCGGCCCTTCACCTGAGACTTTCTCACCCCTTGAGACCCTGAACCTTAAGCACATTGCAACAGTTTCACAGATGGAGGGCGGGTGGTTTTCAAAATGTGGCTCTCGCCTCAGCGCCACGCACATTCGTTTATAAACGTTTGCAGAGTTTCACGGATTGAGGGCCACCCGTTTTTAAAATGTGACTCTCGCCTCAGCGCCGCGCACATTCGTTTTCAACGTTTACAAGAGTTTCACGGATTGAGGGCCACCCGTTTTCAAAATGTGGCTCTCGCCTTCGCACCACGCACACTCGCAATCACAGATCGAGGGCCACCCGTTTTCAAAATGTGGCTCTCGCCTGAGTGCCGCGCACATTCGTTTTAAACGTTTGCAGAAGTTTCACGGATCGAGGGCCACCCGTTTTAAAATGTGGCTTTTGCCCTAGCGCCGCGCACATTCGTTTTAAACGTTTGCAAAAATTTCACGGATCGAGGGCCACCCGTTTTAAAATGTGGCTCTCGCCCTAGTGCCGCGCACATTTGTTTTAAACGTTTGCAAGAACTTCTTGGATTGAGGGCCACTCATTTTTAAAATGTGGCTCTCGCCTGAGCGCCGCGCACATTCGCTTTAAACGCTTGCAAGAGTTTCACGGATCGAGGGACACCCGTTTTTAAAATGTGGCTCTCGCCCCAGCGCCGCGCACATTCGGTTTAAAGACTTGCAACAGTGTCACGTATTCCATAATCAACGTGTCAAATATAGTATTTTGGAAGGATGCAGGATTATGAGGGCGCAACAGTTGCGTTGATTCGCAGTGTTGAAGTCTCAGGAATGGCGTTCTGGTGCGATTCAGGATAGTCAAGACGCAACAGTCAGGTTTATCCGTGGCGCTAGAATCCCGATAACGATGTTTTGGCATGTTTCCGTGTCTTCCAACGGTTGCCTTCCAACGAGGCAGCTTGGAGGGAGGGTTTATTCCAGCATCGTGGATGACTCTTGGATTCACACGGGTCCTCCTTTTCCTCCTCCTCCTCCTCCTCCTCCCCCTCCTGACCGTCCTCATCCTCGTCCTCCTCATCCTCCTGCTTCTCCTCCTCCTCCTCCTCCCCCTCCTCCTCCTCCTCCTCCACCTCCTCCGCCCCCCCGGCCTGGCCCCCAGCGGCCGCGCACGCGGCCGGCAGCGCCCGGCACTCCTCCGACAGCAGCAGCTCCAGCGCCGCGGCCAGCAGGTCCGCCTCGGCGAAGAAGGCGTCGCTGTCGCGGGCGCCGCGCAGCGCGCTGGCCGCCCCGACGCAGCCGCAGTCGGCCCCGACCTCGGCGGCGCGCGCAAGGCGGGGCCAAAGGGGAGGGCGGGAAAGCTTCTCGGGAGAATGGCTGCCTCTTAGCAGGCGCCGGCCCTGCGTCTGCAGATGAAGGCCCGCGCCTCCTGCGAGAAGCCGGAGTGCTTCTCAGAAGCCTTCCCCCCCCGCCCCTGCCCCCCTCTGTGCGCTTGGCCGACGACCCTCGCCGGGGGCGCCCGCAGCACGAGGTCTCGCAGCCGCTCCTCGGGAACACCCCTTAGAAGACCTGTGCGCACGCGCGGGGCCACGCACGCGACTGCCGCCCCCAATGCGTGCGGCCCCTGCGAGCGAATGGCGTGCCGCTCCGCTCCGCGGGGCGGGAGGCTCGCAAAGGCTCGGGGCGTGGACGCCGGGGGACGGGGAAGCGGATAACGTGTCGCGCCCAAGGGTGGTGGGCCAGAACCCGCGGAGCGACGGGCTATCCAAACGTTCCCGACCCTCCACTTTCGAAGGCCACGGGAACTCGCGTTGCACCTCTCCTCGGAGCACGGCGAATTGAGGCAACGGCAGCTCAAACGCGGCCCCTGGAGCCCCCCTGGGGCCCAGGCGCACCACAGTCAAGCCGTATCACAAGGATGCGCGATCAGGATGCAAGGGTCTTGGAAGGCCATGACGACATCTTGCGAGTGGGGCGCGGCCAACGAAAGTGGCCATGGATGGGCCGAGGAGGCACGGATGCAACAAGGGTGCCCTTGGGAAGGTTGTCCATCCTTACCATGCGCGTTGCCACCACTTTGCCGAGCCGCGTCCAGCCGTGGCGGCGAGGGGGCCCCCGAAGGCCAACTGCCATTGTCTCAGCGCGCCCACCTCGGGCCAGCCGGGTGTGGCGCCCCGTGGTCAGGCGTCGGCCGCCCCAGGCGCGCGAGATCGGGCGCCCGGGGCTCGGGCGCCGCGACCTGCTCATGACGTGTCTAAGGTAAAATCGGGCATGTCCCTCTACAGGGGGAATATGCAAACATAGTCAAAACATCTTCTGGGGACGTTGTTTCGACCTATTTTGTTGACATTCTTGTTTGTTTGTTTGTTTGTTTGCTTGTTTTTTTAGGTTTCGTTTAACATCAGTCAGTGGGAGGACATTCGAGACCTACGTTTAAGGTCGCTGCAAATCTGGTGTCCAGTAGCACTGTACTTCCCCGCGGCCCGCGGGCGGAAGCGCCGCCCAGGCCGAGGGGGTATCGCGCAAGGCCGCGGTGCTGGAGAGAGGGGGGGAGGGAGTAGGAGGACGATGAGGACCAGTGTGAACCCAAGAGGAAGAGGAGGAGGAGGAGGAGGAAGAGGAGGAAGAGGAGGAGGAGGAGGAGGAGGAGGAGGAGGAGGAGGAGGAGGCGAGAGGAAGAGGATAGTAGGAGGAGGAGGGGAGGAGGAGGAGGTGGAGGAGGAGGAGGAGGTGGAGGAGGAGGAGGAGGAGGTGGAGGAGGAGGAGGAGGAGGAGGAGGAGGAGGGAGGAGGAGAAGGGGGAGGATGAGGAGGCGAGAAAAAGGAGGAGGCGGATGAGGATGACGAGGACCAGTGTGAACCAAGAGGAGCAGGAGGAGGAGGAGGAGGAGGAGGAGGAGGAGGAGGAGGAGGAGGAGGAGGAGGAGGAGGAGGAGGAGGAAGAGGGGGAAGGAGGAAAGAGGAGGAGGAGGAGGAGGAGGAGGAGGAGGAGGAGGAGAGAGGAGGAGGAGAGGAGGAGGAGGAGGAGGAGGAGAGGAGGAGGAGGAGAAGGAGGAGGAGAAGGAGGGGGGGGGGTGAGGAGGAGGGGAGGAGGAGGAGGAGGAGGAGGAGGAGGAGGAGGATGAGGAAGTGGAGGAGGAGGAGGAGGAGGAGGAGGAGGAGGAGGAGGAGGAGAAGGCCCAGTGAGCACCCAAGGTCCATCAACGAGACTGCAACGAAACTTCCCTCCGAGCTCCCTGCTCATATGCCACTACAAAGACTCGTTTTCACTGGGGGAAGTGCCCCGTTGGAAGGCAACCACTTTAACATCCTGAACTGTGCCAGAACACCATTCCTGGGTCTTCGACGCCGCGAATCACAAACTTATGCGTCCTGAAGATCGTGAACCGTGCCAGAACACCATGGAAGACCGCGGATCAAGGCAACTGTTGCGCCCTGACAGTCTGACATGGTACCAAGACACAACGTCTGGGACGTGAACCAAGAGAACCATTGAAACGGTTAAAACTCTCAAAACGATTGTGTGCGGCGCTGAGGCGAGACCCACATTTTGAAAAGTAACCGCCATCCATCCGCGAAGCTCTTAACATTGTTAAGACGAGCGTGTGAGACGCTAACGCGAAAACAACATTTTGAAAACGGTCCGCCCTCATCCGTGAAACTCTCTTACACTTTTGAAGCGAATGTGCGCGGCGCAAAGGCGAGACCCACATTTTGAAAGCCACCCGCCTTCCATCCGTGAAACTGCTGCAAATTCCAAGCTTCAGGATCAGAAGTGGTGAGGAAATCTCAGGCGGAATGCCCGGCCCGCCCTATCGACACGCCTCGGGACGGGGAGGAGACGACGAGGAGGACGAGGAGGAGGAGGAGGAGGACCAGGAGGAGGAGGAGGAGGAGGAGGAGGAGGAGGAGGAGGGGGAGGAGGAGGAGGATGGAGGAGGAGGAGGAGGAGGAGGAGGAGGAGGAGGAGGAGGAGGAGGAGGGGGAGGAGGAAGGAACAAAAGCCAGCGGCGCCGTCCGCTTCGCCCTCCTTTGAGCTCCAGCACGCCCGCCATGTGGACGAGACCGCGCGGGCGTTCGGCGTACTCCGCCCGGGCGCTCGGGCAGCGGCACAACGCCTCCAGGAGGCCGATGTTCTCCGGGTGCTCGTCCAGGGCGAGCATCACAGCGTCCCGGTGCCGCTCCAGGAGCTCGAACTCCTCGCCCGAGGCAGCAGGAATGAGGCGGGCGAGGATGAGGGCAGCGGAGGGAGGAGAAGGAGGAGGAGGAGGAGGAGGAGGAGGAGGAGGAGGAGGAGGAGGGAGGAGGAGGAGGAGGAGGAGGAGGGGGAGGATGAAGCCCAGTGAAAACCCAAGATTCATCAACGATATTGCAACAAACCCTCCCTCCAAGTTCCCTCTTCATAGGCTCCTGCAAATATTCATTTTCACTGAGGGGAGTGCACGTTGGAAGACAACCGTAGTCCGAACTGTGCCAGAACACCATTCCTGGGACATCAACGCCGCGAATCACCGTTACCTTTGCGCCTTGGCGATCCTGAACCGTGCCAGAACACCATTCCTGGGACTTCAACACCACGAATCAACGTGACTGTTGCGCCCTGACATTCCGACATCGTGCCGAAACATCATTTCTGGGACGCTAGCCATGATCATCCTTAAAGCTGTTGCGAACTCTTGGGACGAATGTGCGCGGCGCTACAGCAAGAACCACATTTTGAAAAAGAACCGCCCTCCATCCGTGAAACATTTGTTAAAACGAATGTGCGCGGCGCTGACGTGAGAGCCACATTTTGAAAACGGCCCGCCCTCCATCCGTGAAACTCTTGCAAAATATAAGCTTCAAGGCCATGAATGGTAAGAAAGCCTCAGGCGAAACGCCTGCCTCGCCCTACCGACACGCGTCGGGATGGGACAGGGTGGAGTTACTTATTAGGGAAAGGAATGGACGACGATGATCATGATGGTGATGATGGTGATGATGATGATGATGATGAGGAGGAGGAGGAGGAGGAACAGGAGGAGGAGAGGGGGTGGGAGCGAGGAGGAGGAGGAGGAGAAATATGAGGAGAATGACGACGACGAGGGGGAAGAGGAGGAGGACGAGGAGAGAAGGAACGCGGAGGGAGGGGGTCTAACGGTTTCTAGCTTTTCTTCTACAACCCCCTTCTTCCCCTTCGGGGGGAGGTTCCTTACTGTTCCTCATTAATGAAAACCCCTCCGCCAGGCAACCAGCAGTCAACCAGGACCAATGAGGACCCCCACCCCACCATCCCTACCAACAAACAACGTTAATTCCACTGCGGGGCAAAATCTTGGATCATGATCGGGAGTCCGCGAGCACTTTGTATTGTGTGACAGGGGCGACGGGGTTGTCCACATATTGCCTGCTGTGTGCAGGGCCACCGCCTGTCGAACAAAAACATAGAATATACACTTCGAGGCAAAATCTGGATCATGCGCGGGCACCCCGCGATCACTGTGCATTGGTTTTGGACTGGGACGGCGGTGGTGCTGGCATATTGCCAGCTGTGTGCAGGCCCACCAGACACTATGATGGCCACCCTGCCACGATTGCGCACTCGTTTTCGACAAGGGTGGTGGGGGCCAACACGTTTCCCGATGTGTACTGCCACGTGCGCAGGCGTACCTGACGCACTCTTCGCGTGCCCCGAGCGTGGCGCACCTGGCGCAGCAGGAGCATGCGGCACACGTACACATGGCGCACGTGGATCACGTGGCGCATCTGGCGCACAAGGCGTCTCTGGCAAGCTTGGGCCACAGGGGCGACTGGCGCACCTGGCGCGCCTGGCACGCGTGCCGCACCTCGCCCCAGCGTTGCGCACGTGAGGTCTGTTGTGTTTCCCATTGGCTGTCCTTCCAAAGATGGCCGCTGAACATGCTGCGGCTCGGGTGCTACTTATGTGTTCGGAGGGCGGGTGGGAGTGAGCCAGACGGCTTGCGGGCTGGGAGGGTGTCTTGACCCCTCCCCCTACCCCCTCCCCGGGGTCCGGATGGGAGTAGGACGCAGGTGTCAGGGGGTCCATTTTCGCCCAAGATGGCTCCAAGAGGGCCTCCGATGCTCCAAGATGGCCTCCAAGATGGCTCAAGTTAGCTGAAGATGGTTTAATATAGCTTCCAACATACCTCCAAGATATGGCCACACGACGGCTCCCAGCGAAGAGTCTACAATCATTTCAAAACCTGAAGGACATCACGATTTTGCCTTCTGGCCTTTTCGCGTCCGATGGGCTCCTGCGGCCTCAGGATGGCCCCAAGATGGCCCAAGATAGCCCCAAGAGGGGCCCAAGATGCCCCCTAGACGGCCCCAAGAGCGCCCAAGAGCGCCCCAAGAACGCCCCAAGAGGGCCCAAAGACACGGTTTTGAGGGCTCCTGAGGGGTGTGTGGCCTACATAAAGGACTCCCCCTTGGCCTCCAAGATGGCCCGAAGAGGCCCTCCAGGCCTCCCAAGAGGGCCCTAAGACCCCCCAGACAAGCCCCCCAGGGTGGCCCAACGAGTGCCCCAGGAGAGCCCCAGGAGGGCCCCAAGAGGGCCTCAAGAAGATCAACTCTCGTCTGCGCCTCCTCCTCCTCCTCCTCCTCCTCCTCCTCCTCCTCCTCCTCCTCTTCTCCTCCTCCCCCTCCTCCCTCCTCCCCCTCCTCCTTCTCCTCCTCTCCTCCTCCTCCTCCTCCTCCTCCTCCTCCTTCCTCTCCTCCTCCTCCTCCTCCTCCTCCTCCTCCCTCGTCGGCAGCGTTCCTCCCTGGGCTGGTGGGGATCCGCGACGCGTGGGGACCGCGGTCGGCCGCGCCCGCGCGCTCGCCTGCCCCGCTCGGAGCTGCCCCCCCCCCCCCCCACCCCCCACCGAGCCGCCGGCGGGGGCCCCGCCGTTGCCCCCAGGCCGCTCACGGAGGCTCCGCTGGCCCAGATCCCCGACGCTCGGGAGTGTGTCGTGGCGTCGATCCGGCCACACGCAGGCCCAGACCTGATCGCGTCGTGGGTAAAAATCAGGGCGGGAGGTTTTTGGCCATTTTCGGCCTCTGGAGGCCCTCGCCAGGCCCTGGGACCGTGATAAAACGACGCAGGGTGAAACGCCGGCCCCGGGGTAAGGGTCGGGGCTTCCGGGGGGGCACCGCACTGGAAAAATCAGGACGTCGCATGTCTGGGGGAGTGACCCTGGCTGGGAGGGATCTTGGGTGCGCGGCTTGTTGGGGGCCACGCTCCTAACGCGTCGCCTTCGGCGATCGGGGGACCCCAATGGGCCCCCACCAAAGGCCACTCCGGCGAAGGGTCACTCCTACGTGTAGCCGATTCATGACGTCGAACCCCTCCTACGTGTAGCCGACTCATGACGTCGAACCCCAGACGCCTCGACCCATTCCCCAGGACCACTTTCTCGCCCCGAGTCGTTTGTTGACGGCCCCGAGGCCCAGCAAGGGCCCCGCCTCCGGAGGCCGCACGTAGCGAAGCCCCGGCCGTCGTGACTTTTGCACGGCTCGAGGGGCTCTGGGGACGGGGCGCTCCCAAAGGGCGGCCAACCTCTCCGTGGGCTGCGTGCCCCCGGGCCCCCGCTCCTGCGGGCCCAGCCTTAAGTCGGGCGCGCCCCCCTACAGGGGGATTCTCGACGAGAAAAAAAACTCCAAACATGCTCCAAAATGGCCAATGCATATTCCAACCAAAAAATAATCCCCAGACTATTTTTTGACTATTTTTGAAGATTCCCCCCGTAGAGGGACAGGCCCGACTTAAGCCCAGCCGCCCCGCCGACCGCGCCTTTTTTGTTCGCCTGCGCCCGAGGAGGGCGCCAAGCGGCGGACGGAGCGCGCCCTGCGCGCGCCGCGCGCGCGCGCGGGGGGCCGACCCAGACATCGGGCGTCTCGACAAAATCGAGACGGACATTTTTCGTAATCTTTGGCGTCTCGGGGCCCTCGCCGGGCCTCGGGGCCGTCGAAAGACGGCTCGGGGCGAAGAACCGGCACCAGGGAAGTGGTCGGGAGGTCCGGGGCCCGCGCCTCGAAAAAATCGAGACGTCGGATGTCTGGGGAAGGGGCCGCCTCAGATGTCCTCGGGGTTGACCCCGCCGCCCGCTGCCTTCTGCTCCCGCAACTGCTTCTCCGCGGCCGCCAGCATATCCATCGGCCCGTCCCCCGCCGGTGCGCCACCCGGCGGCGCCTGGCTCATCTTCTGGATCGCCTTCAGCGCCTCGCCGGCCACGTCCATGCTGATGCCGCCCGCTCCCCCCGCCGGCGCTGTTGCGCCGCCCGTCAGGGCGAGCGGCGGCGGCGGCTGCCCTGGCACTGGCCCAGACGGTATGGCGCCGGGCTGCGGCAGCCCCAAGATCGCCATCAGCGCGGCCGGCTGCTGCCCCATCAAGCTCGCGGTGGGCTGGCCGCCGGGGAGCAGCGCCGCGGCGCCCGCCTCCTTGACGACGCGGATCCGCGCCATGAGTGACCCGCTGGGGTTCCTGGCGCTGGTCAGCTGGCCCCTGGCCATCACGGCCCGCTGGACCTCCTCGGACTCGGCTTTCAGGGCGTGGGTCGCGTTCAGGTCGATCCGGTTCATAGCGCAGAACTTCTCCACCTCGCTGGCATTGGGGTCCACCTGGACCACGGGTGGCGGCTGTGCGGACGGACCGGGGATAAGGGTCCCGCGGCGCGCGTCGCGCATCCTCGCGACCAGCACGCCGCTCGGGTCTCTGCACCCCCTCAAATTGCCGCGGTCGATCACCTGGAGCGCGATGTACGGAGGCTCGTTCCGGAGCTGGTTCGCGGAGCCGGCGTCCACCGGGTTGGCCGTCAGGAACGCCTCGACCTCCTGGGTCGTCATCTCGCGGATGATCCGCACCTCGTCCGGCGAGCGCTGCCGGTCGTCGGAGTCCGGCGACCCGAGCCAGTACTGCTTCATCCCCGCCATTGACGCGTGGGCCGGCCAGCCAACGCGCGCGGCGTGTGGCCCTCGGCCGCACGGGCCGCCCCGCCGCCGGCCCCAGACGCCCCGAGCCCGAGGGCGTCCTGAGCCAGAGCGGCTGCGCCAGGGGCACGCTGCAGGCACTCTGCGCCAGCGTGCACCTGGCATCGCGCGCGCGCGGCGGCGGCGGTGGCGGCGCCGTGCTTGGCGTGGTGTGGCGCGTCAGATCCGCCTCCTCCTTGGCCTCGTGCTCGTCGTCGTCGTCGTCGTCGTCGTCGTCGTCGTCGTCGTCCTCCCCCTCCTGCTCCTCCTCCTCCTCCTCCTCCTCTTCCTCCTCCTCCTCCTCCTACGCCTCTTCCTCCCCCCAATACTCCTCAATCCGTTTTCCCTATGAATGACGTCTCCCTGTCGCGGCCCCAGACGTGTCAGTAGGGCGAGCCGGGCGTTTTGCCTGATAAGTTCTCACCATTTATGGCCCTGAGGTCTGAAACTTGCAGCAGTGTCACGGGTGGAGCGCGGATGGCTTTCAGCATGTAGCCCTCGCTTCAGCGCCGCGCACATCCGTCATACAAGTTTGCCGCAATTTTCAAAATGGAAAACGATCCTTTTCAACATGTGGCTCTCGCAAAGGCGCCGCGCGTATTCGTATTCAACGTCTGCGACAGCCCAAAGACTCGTACAGTTGAAGTTTCAGGAGCGCTGTTCTGGCACGGCTTAGGACTGCCATGACGCAGCAATTACGTTGTTTCGTTGTGTTGAAGTTCCAGGAACGGTGCCCTGGCACGATTGAAGGTTGTAAGGACGCAACACTCACGTTGATCCACGGCGTTGAAGTCCCAGGATCAATGACTTGACACGAAGGAGGATTATCAGAGGTTTCTCTTCTGATTGGCCACTTCCCGCAGTGAAGACAAATCCTTGTAGGGACCCGTGAAGAGGGAACCTGGAAAGAGGATTTACTGCAACATCGTTGATGAGTCCTGTGTTTACAGTTGTCTTCCTCCTCCTCCCCCTGATCTTCCTCCTCTACCCCCACCTCCCCCCGCTGCTGCCCGTCACTGCTCCTCCTCCGGTTGAGTCTTTTTTTTTTTCGGCGTTTCGACGTTGGGCGGAAAGGGGGGGGAAGGGGGGGGGGTCTGGCTCCAGACCTCTGCTGAATGCGACTGCTTGCAGCAGTGCGTCCTGTGGGGGAGCCTCCACCTGCTCGAAACAGGCGCCCAAAGCAGCCAAGTTCTACTCCATGGGGGGGGGGAGGGGAGGGGTGGCGAGGGCGCGCGACGATCGGCAAAGCGAGAGAGCGCAAGCCTTGCGCCGGACGGCGCGCGAGCAGGTTGAAACATGAGAACACTAGTGCAGAACATCGGCAGTGTTTACGTCGGGCTCCACCTCTTCACTGCTGACTCCCACGAAGCCGCTGCTCTGTCTCCTTGACAGAAGAATGTAGACAAGGCTTCCCCTGAGCCAGCCACGGACAAACAATTGCGCATGACCGTGCTGCCCCAAGATCGTCTTGGACGCCCTCGCCTGCGTGGGCCTGCCGGGGGACGGAGACACTATCCAGCTGACTCGAAAACAAAACGTCGCACAGGGTCTTCGTCCGGGAGTTGCCCCATGAAGAGCATCTGTCGTTTCATGAGACTCCTCACTCAGAGGCCTCTGTCCGGCCATGGCGAGAACTGCAGACTTGGACACGCGGCTGACATACGCCGACGACGCGCGGCATATTTTCCAGAGGCAACGGGCGTGAAATCCGTCTGGCCGTCTGCGTTCGCATGTGTTCAGACAGCCAGCACACATTGCATAACAATTTCGACGCACTTCACGCGTTGAAGATTCTCAGCTTGCGCGCCAGGCTGTGTGGAATGCGCCCAGGCAGATATTCAAAACTTTTAAAGCTTGCCCTGCTGCCCTTATCCGGTAGCTCAGTTCAGATCCAAGTCTGCCATCTGCAGAAAGACGGGTGCCCAAATATGCGATTGAGCTCTTGCGCGCGACAGGGACGCCAGAAGAGTTCATCATATCAGCGTCAGATCTTACCCTCAATAGTTCCACTTTTTGCCAGTTCAATTTGAGCCCGTAATGCGCCCCGCAGGTTTCGATGGCAATCAGGGGCGCCTGCGCGGCGCGGGGATCGCTATCGATCGGCAGGGTGTCGCCTGCGTAGACGAGCTCTCTCGCGGAATTCTCCTCTGGCAGCTCCCCCAAGTCCGTTTGCAGCATCGTGCGCGCGTCCGTGAGGAGGGTGGTCATCAGAATCGTGAAGAGGAAAAGGGGCAGCGAGCAGCCTTGGCATATGCCGTGCGCTTGGGCATGCTCGGCAGACGTCTCGTCAGAGTGGTTCGCGCTGAAAGTGCGGACCTGGTGTGTGGGAGCCACCGCGCGCACTGAGTGGTCAGGGCGCTCTTTTCAGAGAGGCCGCCAGCGACGTCGGCGAGACCGAGTCGAGCGCTTCGGCCCAATCCAGTGCGAGAGCCTCGCCCCGCCGTCCTTGGTCGCCCACGCATCTTCAACCGCTCGTCTTGCCAGGCAGATGATGTCCGCCGCCCCCCTGCCGGAACGGAAGCCAAATCGCGTTTTCCAAATCTTGGATTCGGCGCCGCCGTCCTTCAGACTGCCCAGTAATAGAGTCGCAAATGCTTTCTAGCCGATGGTAAGTAGACTGATGGGTCTGTAATTGTCGCGCGACGCTGGATCACATTTCTCGTTGATCTTACTAACTCTGGCTCTTCCCCATGCCACTGGCACCCGCATCTGCGTGCAAACCCTGTTGTGGAAAGAGGTGGTCCAGAATGGCGCGGTCTCGCCGTCGCCAGCAACTGCCTGCCAGAATTCCGGTGGGATCTTGTCCCTCCCGGCTGCTTTGCCGCGGCGCAGCTGTTTGGCCGCCTTGCGTACTTCGCCCTCGGTGATTGGCCGTGTAGCGCCGGCAACTCATCATGAACTGGTCTCTCGTCCGGCCGCGCCGACGTGGGCCTCGCTACCCATTGCTCCGTCTCGAGATGATTGGCTAATGTCTCGGCCCTGGCGTCGCTGTCGACGAGAGCTCCGGCGGCGTGTCGGAGGCGACCCTGCTGCGGGCAGAACCCCTTCCGCAATTTGCGGGTCTCTCCCCGGCTGCCGTCTGCAGTGAGCTTCTCCAACCAGTCGGCGCGGCCCAGCGCCGCAGATTTCCGAGCGTATTTTGCAAGATTGCGCTCTGCAACAGTGTCTCCCGAACGTCGCGCCTCCCCTCGCCGGGCGATTAGCTGACGGCTTCCGCGCGGCAATCGGCTTCTCTGGCAAGGACTGGGGCGCCGCGTGTCCGAGCGCGTCGACAAGCTGGCGCCGTGCGAGGTCCAGGTCGCTGAGTCGACTGTCCTGCTCGTCGATTTCTTCCAGGGCGCGCGAGAGATGTTGCCTGAAGACTAACTGCGTGCTCTCCGCGTGCAGCCAGTGCGCGCTGAGCTCGGGGGGCGGTCGTCGCTTCTTCGGCTGCTTGTCAACGGCCGCGCCCGCCCGCGCCGCGAGCGAGAAGTGGCGCGAGGCAAGCGGCGCCTCGCGACTCACCTGCGCTGCGAAGTCGAAATGTGAGTGCGTTGCAGCGCTCACTGCGCACCCGAAAGGACACCTGGCATGTCGCGAGGTCCTCCTGCGGCCTCTCGAAGAAAGTGTTGGCCATGCACATGCGCAGCCGCTGACGTCTCTAGCAGCGAGAACCTATCTGCGCCCGGCTTGACGTTGGCTCCTGGGTGCTGGAGTGTGTGTGTGTGTGTGTGTGTGTGTGTGCGTGTGTGTGTGTGTGTGTGTGTGTGTGTGTGTGTGTGTGTGTGTGTGTGTGTGTGTGTGTGTGTGTGTGTGTGTGTGTGTGTGTGTGTGTGTGTGTGTGAGAGGTCCTACTTCGGATTTCTCTTCCCCCCCGTTCGTTCGCGCAGTCTTGCATTGAAGTCGCCTAGTATGATATTCGGGCCATGCGCCGATCGAGTTTCAACGAAATCGGCCAACTCATATTAAAAATCCTGGCGCCCCTCGCACTCCTTGCCGCTGTGTGGACCGCGCGCCGAAAAGAGGGCGGCTCCGCCCCCCGGCGCTTTGATTTTCAGCGAAGCCATCCGTGAGGGTGCCTGGCAGAAGCCCACGACGTATCTCCTGGCGGCAGGTGCCGCGAGAAATCCCACCCCGACCTTGTCTGTGGATGTGTCTTGGCCGCCTGACTGTATGACCAAATAAGCGGCATCTGATGCGAAAGCGGTCGATTCCGGAACCCGCGTCTCCTGAACGCAAAGAATCTTGATATCCATATCTTCCATCGTACGTTCCAACTCTATTTGTTTCGAGTCCGTGTACCCTCCTATGTTCCAGCCTGAAATTGTAAATTCCCTAGGCGCCAGGCGCAATAGGCCACCCCGCGCAGTAGACAATGGCAGACTGGCTAAGCCATCTCTCTGGTTGTCCTCAGAAGTTCGTCGATCGCCACGGGGGCTCTCAGAAGGGGGCCCAAGGTCTCCATGGCTCTGAGGTGAAACGGTCCTGCTCGCGAGCCGCCGGCGCCCCTACTTGGAGTGGCGCCAGAACCCTTCCCTTGCGCTTCCTTTTGGAGCCGCTCTTGCCGACGCCTTTGATTGGATGCTGCTCGAGCTTGCTCCGTAGCTTCTGTGCCATCTGCGGTCGGGAAAGTCCGCATGAGCGAGCCGCTCCTCCCATCCGGCGCTGTAGTCGACCCTCGGCGTGCCACCGTCGATGGCCAGATGGCCACCTGAATCGCGATTTCGTCGCCGACCCGCACCTTTCCCTCCTCGGGGTCTGCCTTCATGTTGTCGTTGTCGTAGCCCCACTCCTTCAACATGTACTTAGCTCCAAAACGCACACGAAGTCAGCACCCTCTGGGCCAAGGCCTTGTCGGGCTTAGCCCAGACAGTCGTGCCGCCTTCCTTGAAAGCTTTCTTACGGAGAGTCTGCGCTGCTGTGTCCCTGCCTGTCTGGTCCCAAAACATTGCACACGGTCATGCCGTGAAACTCGCTCTTGACGTAGACGTCCTACAGCAAGGGCGCGTGAGACTTTCACAGCTTACTCTTCAGCCAGTCGCGGGGTTCGTCAAGGCCTGAGAGATCCTGCAGTTCTCCAATCACTGCGGTCAGCTCCTTGTCCTGGCTCTTGTCTGTGGCAGGGGTCATGCCTTTTAACTGCTCGATCTCCACCTGCAGCGCCTTGATGTGGTCCCAAACCTCTGTGTTGACGTTGCGGGGGGATGCCGGTGAGCCGACCGTGTGCTCGTACGTGTTCTCCAGGTTCGTCAGGCGGATGTCGATGTCCTCCATGTGCGTCGAATTTCCCGCTCATCTCCTTCAGACGCTTGTCGAAATTCTCGATGGTGGCGTTGATCGGCTGGACCTCCTGGCGGATGATGGCCGCGATATCCTAAAACATGAGAGGGTGTTGATGCTGTTGATGCTGTGGCGCTGCATGGGCTTCTGCAGGAGTAATCGGCGAAGAGATCTGATGTGCCTCCGGCCGGGGTGGAGAGCTGAGGCCGTCAAACCCATCCATCTCGTGGAGCGGGCTGAACAGGTGTTGACGAAAGTCGCGTTGAAGGGCTCCTCGGACCCGGGTACCTGGTGCTCGCGCGCCCGTACCTGCCATCTCAAGATATGCGAAGGGGAAAGGAAAAAGTGGCGTGGTGGTAAAAGTGCGAAGTAAAGGTCTGAGAAAGTAATGGTCTCCGAGCTTGAGCTTGAGCTTGACCTTGAGCAAACAAATGAACAAAACATAATGCACAAAACATATCGGAGGTCTGCTCCGTCTCCTCCCTTGTTTTCTCGGTCTGCCGTCTGCCCGCCCGACTCGCCATGGAGGGGGTCGTAGTACGCCCGCCCAGCCCGTCCGCCCGACCCGACCCTTCGGGGCCGCCCGCCCGTCGTCGCCCACTATCGTCGTTTCTGTTGCCCTCCTCGTCGTGGTCGTCGCCGTCGTCGGCGGCGGCGGCGGCGTCACAGTCGCTGTCGCTTTTGTCCGCGCCCTCGTCCTCGTTTCGTCGTCGTCGTCGTCGTCGTCGTGGCGTCGTCGTCGTCGTCGTCGTCGCTCTTGTCGCTCTCCTCTCTGTCGTCGTCGTCCTCCCTTCGTCGCCCTGCGTCGTCGTCGTCGGCGTTGTTGTCGTCGTCGTCGTCGTCGTCGTCGTCGTCGTCGTCGTCGTCGTCGTCGTCGTCATCATGGTCATCATCATCGTCGTCGCCCTCATGGACGTTGTGCTAGATGGGTCACGCACTAATTTGAAGTCTTGTCCGATCAGCCCGTCCCAGCCATTAGTAGGGTCCACCCGCCTGACCCGCCCGCAAATACCCGCCCGTTAAGGTGCACCGTCGTGTCCTTAATCGTCGAAGACGACGTCGTCGTCGTCGTCACTGTCGGCGTTGGCGTCGTCGTCGTCGTCGACCTCGTCCTTGTCACTGTCACCCACGTGGATGCTCTGCTGGCTGGAGTGCGCGCTCCTTTAATGTCCCGTCCGTGCCGACCCGCACACCCATCAGGGTTCGCCCGCCAGACCCGCCCGCCCGACTCGCCCGTCAGGGTCCTGACCAGCCCTTCAGGATTGTCGTCGCAGTAGTCGTCCTAGTCATCGTCGTTGTCGCTCTCCTCGGCGCCGTTGTTGTCGTCCTCGTCGTCGTCGGCGTAATCGTCACTCTCGTCGTCGTCGTCGTCGTCGTCGTCGTCCGCGCTGTCTCTCTCGTGGAGATCCTGCTGGATGGATCGCACCCTACATTACTATCCCGCTTAACCCGACCCGCCCGCCCGCCCGGTAGGGTCCACAAGGTCCACCCACCTGACCCGCCCGTTGGTCCGCCCGCCTGGCCCGCCCGGTGGGGTCTGCCCGACCGACCCGTCCCTTCGGGTTCGCCCGCCCGATCCGTCAGCCTGGCCTGGCCTTTAGTGTTCGCCTGCTCGGCCCGCCCGTTAGGGTCGTTGTTGCAATCGTCGCCATCATCATCATCATCATCATCATCATCATCATCATCATCATCATCATCATCCTCATCCTCATCCTCATCCTCATCCTCCTCCTCCTCCTCATCATCATTATCGTCATCGTCATCATAATCATCACCATCGTCAACATCATACTCATCATCATCATCGTCGTTGTCGTCGTCGACGCCTTCGTCGTCATCATCATCAACACCACCACTACCATCATCATCACCATCACAATCACCACCACCAACATCACCAACACCACTATCGTCATCACCATCACCATCACCATCATTATCATCATCACCACCATGACCACCACCATGACCATCACCATCACCACCATCACCACCACCATCACCATCATCACCATTACCATCATCATCACCATCATCATAATCACCGTTTCCATCACCATCACCATCACCAGCACCATCACCATCGCCACCAGCACCATCATCATCATCATCATCATCACCATCACCATCACCAGCACCATCACCACCACCATCATAATCAGCATCATAATCACCATCACCACCATCATCATCATCATCATAATCACAATTTTCATCATCATAATCATCAACACCCTCACCATCACCATCACCATCACCATCACCATCGTCATCATCACCATCATCACCATCACCATCGTCATCATCGTCATGGTCATCATCATCATCACCATTATCGTCACCACCATCATCATGATCATCATCATCATCATCATCATCATCATCATCATCATCATCATCATCATCATCATCGTGATCGTGATCGTGATCGTGATCGTGAACGTGATCGTCGTCGTCGTCGTCGTCGCTGTCCTCGTCGTTTTCGTCGCCCTTGTCATCGTCGGCGCCGTCGTTACGGTCGCCCTCGTCGTCGCGTTCGTCGCCTTCGTCGGCGTGGATGTGCTGCCAGCTGGAGTTCGCATCACTTTACTGTCCCTCCCAACCCGACCCGTCCGCCTGTCGTGGTCTGCCCGCCTGCTCCGTCCGTCAGGGTCCGCCCGCCCGACCCATCCGTTATAACCCCCAAGGCCCCAAAGAGGGCCCCGAGAGGCCCCGAGAGAGTCCCAAAGACGTCCCGAATGGGTCCAAGAGAGCCCCACGATGGTCACAAAGAGCCTCCAAGAGGCTTCCAGAGCGTAAGACCTGCGAAGGCCTTGATGATTGACTCCTGTCGTCGTCGTCCTCGTTGTCGTCGTCGTCGTCGTCGTCGTCGTCGTCGCCTTCATCGTCGTCGTCGCCGTCGTCGTCGTCGCCGTCGTCGTCGTCGTCGCCCTTGTCGTTGTCGCCCTCGATGGAATTTCGGCCTGGGCCGGGCCGGGGGGGGGTCTGGCTGCTGTCCAATGAACATTGCGAGGGGCACCCTCTCCCGCACGCTCGGGGCGCCTGGGGGCGCCCGGGGGACAGGGATCATGGGAACGCGGGGGGGGGGGCGCGCCCAAAGGGGTAGGGGGAGGGTAGGAAGGCTTCTTAGAGGGAAGCTGCTTCTTGGAAGGCGCCCGCCCTACATCTATAGACACGGCCCGCGATTTATAAGAAGCAGGTGTGCTTCTAAGAAGCCTTTCCCCCTCCCCTCTACCCCCTTTTGCGCGCGGCCGAGGGGAAAGGGAGCCTTACCAGAGGCCGACTTGAGGGAGCCGAGGCTTCCTGTGGGACCATGCGTGGCATCTTGGTCTTCTGCGACGGGGGCTTCCGTCGGAACCCCTCCCTGCTCCAACTGCCGGGGCCTCAGTGACAATTTGCTTCACTGTGGCCGAGCCTTCCGCCAGCGGACCTTCCGCCTGCGCCTCGGCTGGAGCCAGATCCACCCTGTCATGGGCGGGGAGCGGGTCCATACCCAGAGCCTCCTGGCCTGGACTCCTCGGCTGCGACCTCATGGAGACAAGCGGCTTTGCGCAATCTTCGCGCAACCTTATCCGCGGGATTACATGTCCACGGGATCCCACTGGGCTCCAGGGCTGGTTCTACTTGATCTTCACCGTCACTGCGTCCTGGCAGCGCCCGCGGGTGCGCCCTGGCCCCGGCCCTGGCTGTTGCCGCGGTCCCCGCTGCCGTGGCTGGCCGCTCTGGCCCGCTCACCGCGGAACTCTTCCACGTCTGAGCGCCCTCCCCCTCCACCCTCCGCGGGGCCCTCCTCGCCTTCGCCTCTCTCTCTCTTGCACGCCGGACAATTTGACTGTTGGTTGCCCCGATTCTCCCCGCGCTGGTGCGGATTGCCCCTGCCTCGCCGCTGACGAAAAAATCCACGGGATCCCACCTCGTCATCGAGACCCCGAGCTGAAGGCGTGGTGCCCTGTGTAGATGGCCAAGCACGTTCCACTACTCGCAGAGTCACTGCTCGCAGATGGCTCGGATCCGCCGCTGGGGATTTTTACGATCCGTTACATCGAAAGAAGGCATGCGTTTTTTTCGGGCGTTTGCACGTTCTCAAACAATACCCCCAAATAGTCAAACATGCTGAACAACTCGTCCCCAGACCATTTGTTGTTGTTGTTCTTGCTGCTATTTTTGAATTTTCTCCTGTAGAGGGACAGGCCCGACTTCAGAGTAGGCGCTTTGCGAGTAGGGGAACGCGCTCGGTGAGTGGAGGGCAGATGTCTTGTCACACCAGGCAGCGGGCAGCGGAGCGTCGGTGCGGGCTGCCTGGCCCGCCTCTTCCGCGACGGCCTGCCTCACCGGGTGCTGCTGCAGCCCACGGTGCACAGCTTGAAACGTCGCCGCGGGAGAGCGGTCTTTCGGGGATGGACAGACCTCCCTTTAGCAAAACATGGTTTAGTGAAAACGACCTGAGGCCCAAACCTGGCGGGCGCAACCCTGGAAAATAACGGCCGCGGCGCACTCTCGAGAACCGAAAACGGACAATTCACTAATCGACGTGTCACTGTTGGGGGTTCTGTCCACCCCCGAGTCTTGGGAAGGGCGGGGGGGAAGGGAGGCAGAAAGTTTGCATCCTCAAGCGCTCAGACTGCAGCCAATCGGCCTCCGTCAAGGCATCCGGCGAGCAATGCAAGCTGTAGGTGCCTTCTCACGCCACAGGGAAACAGCTGCGTAAGAAGCAAGGGGGAGGAACGCAGGAGGGACGGTGATGTACACTGGCAGGGCGCCCAATGAAACTTACCAGAACCGAAAGGGGTCGGCGCCTTTGCTAATCGCAGTACCAGGTGCAACATCAAGTGTTGCAGGAACGCTCCGGCGCTGCAACAGCCAGGCCGAGGCCACCTCAGGGCGTTAGAATCTGAGAGGGCACGACCAATAGATGCTTGGCAGATAAATTTGTGGGTAAGGAACGGAATGATTTCGCCGGCGCATCGGCAGTTGGCTTCACAATATTATGCCATTGGCGGCAGCCACGCCGACACCTTAATCAGGCGTGGGCGCGATGCCACTAGATGGTAATTACACCGTTTACGCCAATGCTCAACTTTTCGTAGGCAAGTGCGCTGTTCGTGTGCTCGTGTGCCCCCACGCGGGGGCTACACAAAAGAGAACTCATACGCACACGTTCCACGGTCAGAGACGCGATGCCACGTGACAACGGCCACGGCTGTGTGCCTACACCTTCATCTTGGGCCGCTGATCATGCAGCGCTGTCTTCTTGGACACCAGCAGCTCGCAATAGAAGACGACCATCAGACCAATGACTATCAGTAAGATGCCGAGGTCCTTAAGACCAGGCATGCCGATGTGGAACTGACGGGCCCAGGGGGCCCCCATGACGCCCACAATTGACATGCAGATGAATGTGGTAGCTGCTGGGTGCAGGCCCATGTACACAGACACTACCGCGGGGTCCGTGTGCTGGTTTGCCCAGTTCAGCATAGGCCAGGCCACGAGAGTGCAGATCACCACCTCGTAGAACAGCGGGAAGTAGACTGAGGTTGGCAGCCATAGACCCTGATTCATGCACTTCTCTATCAGGGCCTGCGAGTCGGCGTGGCAGAACACCTGGTGCAGCGGCCTGAACGCGAACATCATCACGGCGGTGAGACTCAGCAGGGTGATGCTAGTCATTATCGACCACGTGACCGTCTGCACTGGCGTGTACTTGTTGCCGAATCGGTTCATGATGATGAAATAGCTGGAGGTGCCAGCGATGTTGCAGAAGAAGATGAGGTGGCTGACCGCACGGAGCAGCACCCCAGACTCCGTGGCAACCGCCATGCTGGGCCGGCTGTCGAAGACCACCATGAAGACGGCACCAGAGGCGGAGATGACGATGCCGAGCGCCTTCATCCCCTCCAGCTTGGTCTGGCCGAGGATGACCGACAGCAGTGCTGTCAAGATGGGCAGAAAAGTCTGCCACGCGGAGCCGGTCACGGGGTCAGCAAGCTTCAGCGCCACGAACCAAAACACCTGGTTGCAGAAGAACGCCGTGCCGCCCATGATTACCCGGGGAACGTCCTCCCGCGCTGGAAAGGGCTTGATCCCGAATATGAAAAGGCCCGTGAGGAGGGCGATCAGGGACCAGAACTCGCGGAAGAGCTCGAAGATGATGGCGCTGGTGCCGTGGACGCCAAACTTGCCCACGATGGCGCCGCCAGCGAACAGGCAGTACCCCGTCGCGAGCGCGGCATGGACTTTGTAGACGGACGGGACTTTTGCTTTCTGGCCAGCGCTGCCAGCGCCCGTGTCGAGGGCTTCGCACGCCCCGTACTCTCCGTCCTTCGTGGCGGCGGGCATGCTTTCGGGTGCAGGCTACTGGTGTGTGCCAGAACAGTACGGTGCTTATGAGGTCGAAAGATATGGATCCGCCGTTTTCAGCTGGAGCCTAAATGGCTACCGGCCGGTATACCTACCCACTCTGTCGGGTCGCGGCGCATCTTATGGTCACGGGCAGCAGGAGACTCGGCTGGTTAGTGGCCAGCAGCATCGACCCAACCCGCCCATATGTAAAGAAGGACATGTATATATATATAGATATGTGCGAGTATGCACACATATAAATCGGGTAGCCAAAGTGGACCACTAAACAATGCTTTCTTGCAGTCTACGCAATTCAACCCAGGTGGTGCAATTCACTAGCCGAACTTGAATTTGTCAACTCCAGTGCTCGCGCAATCATCCCACCCACCCACCCGCAATTTGGTTTGCAAAACCCATGCGGAAGCGATTGCGATGAGTGCTGGGTGTTGGCTGGTGCATCTCTGCGGCCGCGCTAGCCCGCGCATGCTCGCGCCCGCAGCGGCCAGCTAGTTTGGCGCGACCGACGCGAACGCAGTGGCACTAACCGCTCGGCACATCCCAGCGTGCGCCGCAGTGCGAGTCGGCGACTTGGGCGGGCGCGGCATCATGGCAACGTCGGCAACGGTAGACACGATGATGATATTAGCGATGCTGTTGACGATGTTGACAACGACGACGGCGCGGCCAGTGACGGCGCCGATGCTGATCACGCCGGCGACGATGACAGCGTCTTCGTGTCGGTGATGAAGGTTTTGGAAGGAATTCGACATGCGCGCGCGGCAGACGCGCGCGAGTGGCTCGCAAGGCATTATTTGACACGGATCGTGCCACCCCAGCACGCGCGCAAAGGCGTTCGAACGATTTCGACACGCGCGCGCGAAGCCTGTTTGATGGCAATTTATGAAAATGTTGAACAACTTAGGTTTTGCTTGAGAATTTGCTAGATGACGCGCACGTTTTTGTTGAACACCCGTGTTGCAAAACCATTTTCCCACTCGATTTTGATATCTTTCCGAAACGAAAGGTTTTTGAAAGATTTCGGCATGCGCGCGCGACGACGCGCGCATGTGCACTTCGTCCCGTTTTTTGGCAAGGGATTCTTGGAAACTGAAAATGCTTGGTAAACGAATCTGCGCGCATAGTTCTTTTGGCAAAGGAACCGAGGGGGGGCCGATACCGGCCTGGCTGGGATAGTATGAAGCACACATCGGATGGACATTGGTTCAAAATCATCGGTGTTTTGCATCGTCTCCCGGGGCATCGATAAGTCCGGGGGGAGGGGGGGTGGTAGAACCTATCTCCATTCTAGAAAGGAGATTTTTTACAAACGAATTGACACAGTCTGTGCTCTTGCCCACATCCCACCCACCCATCCCCAACTTGTTTGCAAAACCCATGCGGCGGCGAATGCGATGGGTGCTTGGCGTTGGCTGATGCATCTCTGCGGCCGCGCCAACCCAAGCACGCAAGCGCAGCGGCCAGCTAGTTTGGCGCGACCGACGCGGCCGACCGCTGGGCACGTCCTACCGGGCCCTTTAGTGCGAGTCGGCGAGGGGGCGGGCGCGGTATCATGGCAACGTCGACAACGGTAGACACGATGATGATATTAACGATGCTGTTGACGATGTTGACAACGACGACGGCGCGGCCAGTGACGGCGCCGATGCTGATCACGCCGGCGACGATGACGGCGTCCTCGCGTCGGTGATGAAGGTTTTGGCCAGAGTTCGACATGAGCGCACGGCCGACGAGCGAGTGGCCCGCCTGGTACTGTTTGACACGGATCGGGCCCCCCTGGGACGCGCGCAAGGGCGTGCGAATGCGGCATGCGGCGCGAAAGGCCCGCTTAGCAGAATGTCGTGGACATGTTGAAACACCAATGGTTTTCCAAAGGATTCGCAGGAACACGAGCGGAACGATTTCGACATGCGCGCGCAGCTCTTTCGGTAGCATTTTATGAACATGTTGAATCATCAATGGCTTTCTTAACAATTCGCAAGAGCGCGCAAGTTTTTTTTGAAAATCCGTGTTGCGAAACTTTTTTTCGTGTGCACGTCGTCCCATTCACTGCACGGGATTTTTGAGAGCTGATGGCTTCCGATAAACGAATGTGCGCGCACAAAACTTTTTCCCAACCCTCCTGCGTTGGGTTCTCGTTTTGAATAGAGCACTGCTCGCGCGAACCTTCCTTCCCACCCCTCCCGTCCCTCTCTTCCCCCTTGCCTTTGACCTCGCCATCCCTGGGGGGCTGCGATCTGTGAAACTGTCGCCACTTTCGAGGGCTGCTGGGGGGCCCAGCACAGTGGGCGCCCACGGCGGATTCAAATGGGACCCCGCCATCCGTGGGGGGCTGCGATCTGTGAAACTGTCGCCACTTTCGAGGCCTGCTGGGGGGCCCAACACAGTGGGTACCCACGGCGGATTCAAATGGGACCTCGCCATCCCTGGGGGGCTGCGATCTGTGAAACTGTCGCCACTTTCGAGGCCTGCTGGGGGGCCCAGCGCAGTGGGTACCCACGGCGGATTCAAATGGGACCTCGCCATCCCTGGTGGGCTGCGATCTGTGAAACTGTCGCCACTTTCGAGGGCTGCTGGGGGGCCGAGCAAAGTGGGTACCCACGGCGGATTCAAATGGGACCCCGCCATCCCTGGGGGGCTGCGATCTGTGAAACTGACGCCACTTTCGAGGCCTGCTGGGGGGCCCAGCGCAGTGGGTACCCACGGCGGATTCAAATGGGACCTCGCCATCCCTGGGGGGCTGCGATCTGCGAAACTGTCGCCACTTTCGAGGCCTGCTGGTGGGCCCAGCACAGTGGGTACCCACGGCGGATTCAAATTAGACCTCGCCATCCCTGGGGGGCTGCGATCTGTGAAGCTGTCGCCACTTTCATACCTCGCTCGTCGCAGTGTTTCGAGGGCTGCAGAGGGGCTGCGATCTGTGAAACTGTCGCCACTTTCGAGGGCTGCTGAGGGGCCCAGCACAGTGAGTACTCACCGCAGACTCAAATGGGACCTCGCCATCCCTGGGGGGCTGCGATCTGTGAAACTGTCGCCACTTTCGAGGGCTGCTGGGGGGCCCAGCACAGTGGGCACCCACGGCGGATTCAAATGGGACCTCGCCATCCCTGGGGGGCTGCGATCTGTGAAACTGTCGCCACTTTCGAGGGCTGCTGAGGGGCCCAGCACAGTGGGTACTCACCGCAGACTCAAATTAGACCTCGCCATCCCTGGGGGGCTGCGATCTGTGAAACTGTCGCCCCTTTCGAGGGCTGCTGAGGGGCCCAGCACAGTGGGTACTCACCGCAGACTCATATTAGACCTCGCCATCCTTGGGGGGCTGCGATCTGTGAAACTGTCGCCCTTTTCGAAGGCTGCTGAGGGGCCCAGCACAGTGGGTACTCACCGCAGACTCAGATTAGACCTCGCCATCCCTGGGGGGCTGCGATCTGTGAAACTGTCGCCACTTTCGAGGGCTGCTGAGGGGCAGAGCACAGTGGGCTTCCCGCACGTCTTTCTCCTGCTCTTCGTTCCCGACTCCCCATGTCCTCTTCGAGCCTGTAGTTGTCGCCCCTCGTTCTTGTATGGTTCTCCTGCGCATCATGCCGTTGGCGCGTGTCCCAAGTAGCTTACATATCAAACAACGGATCCTGCAATTTGATTGCCCGTGCAAATTTCGGCCAACTTCTCGTTTCCCATGATACAAATGGGTGGGGTACGTCACAAGATAATTTTTGGAGAGGATTGCGGGGGAGGGGGCGGGTACCGGCTCGGCTGGGCTGGTTTGAACTCATACTTCGGATAGACGATGGGGCAGAGTCACATGTAGCTTTCACTACGACAAGGGAACGGATGATCCCTGGGTGGGGGGGTAGAGTTTCTCTTCTAGGAAGGGAGAACCGATGAGGTGCAACCTAGGTGGTGCAGCTCATGTGGTGCAATCTGTGTGGTGCAAAGCAGTGCGAGCAATTCGAAGCAATGCAATGCAAAACAATACACAGCAATGCACACCATGCAGAGACAAGCCATGCAACGCAATGCACATATAGGCGAGTACGTGCAAAGCTATGCAACCCAATGTAAAGCAATGTGAAGCAATGCGAAGACATGCAATGCGAAGCAATGCAAAGCAATGCGAAACAATGCGATTGTACTGCGATTGCAATGCAAATCAATGGCAGACAATGCGATTGCAATGCAACATGATACAACGCAATGCACATCATGGCACAGCAACGCAAACCAATGCAAAGTAATGCCAAGCAATGCAACGCACTACAGAGCAATGCTCACCAATACCGAACAATGCGTTACAATGCAAAGCCATGCGAAGCAATGGAAACCCAAACAAAGCAATGCACAGCAATGGCACTCCAAGCAACAGCACGCTCACTGCGACGCAGTGCGAATCGAGGTAGACCCATGCAGCGCAGCGCACGGTATGCAGTGCAGAGTAGCGCAGGGCAGTGCAGAGCAGCGCAGGGTGATGCAAAGCCGTGCAGAGCAGTGCTGAGCAGTGCGGCCACGAGGCGGCGACGGCGGCCGCGAGGCGGCCGGACCGCCGTCCAGGGGCCCCGGCCGACGGGCGGCGCCTGGGCGGCGACGGGGCGGCGGCGGCGACCGCAGGGCGGCGGACCCGTCGCGCAGGCCCGGGCGGCAGAGCCAGGCGGCCCCCGGAGGGCACCGCTCCCAAAGGGGTCGCCGGACGGCTGGTGTCTGTGATGGCGGAGAGCAGGCAGATGGGCACATGGCAGCCGACGAGGAGGGAAGGCGAGAGGGAGGTGGCCTTCCTCCCCCCTCCTCCTCCTCCTCCTCCTCCTCCTCCTCCTCCTCCTCCTCTTCGTCCTCGCCCCTCCTGCTCTCCCCCGCCCCCAGGAGGGCCAAGGAAAGCGCCCCAGGAGGGCCTCCTGGAGGACCTCCAATAAAAGAATGACAACGGCATAAACATAAACTTTTGGCGCTCCGCGCGGATTTCTTGGATCTGCGCTGGACCCCCTCCCTGGCGCGCGGAGCGCGCCAGGGGCGGCGCCGTAGGCGCCGCGGGGGTGGGCCCAGCGCGGATCCAAGAAATCGGCGCGGAGCGCCACAAGTTTATGTTTGTGGCTTTTTGTTCTTCTTCGATTCTTGGAGGGCCTCCAAGCCTCCAAGGGGCCCCACGACACCGGACCGACGGGAGCTCCTCTCCGAGGCGCTCCACGAGCAGCCGCCGTATCAGCACGCCAGCCACCACCGACCTGCTCGGAGGACGCCGGCCACCCGCCCTGCTTGCGCCGAGCCCGGCTAGGGCAAATCCCGCGGGCCCGGGACCAGCGCTGGTGTGCGGCACGCCCCTGCTGAGAGTTAAAAGAATCTCGAAGCTAAAGACATGGGACTTCACTCGAAGCGTTTTCTTGGGGAGTGGTCCAGGTCGAGGTATGCCGAAGCTCTACGTGAGAATAGAGAGGTCCGAGGAAACGCGCAGGGTCCAGTACCGTATACCTTCGAGCCGCAGCGCCACGTCGCAAGTCTGGGGCCCATGGGGTTGGCCCGGCCAGGGCCGGCCAGTCAGGCGGGTGGCTGGCGTGCCGCCCAGCCGACCCGCTCTCGCAGATCAGGCCCCAGATGGTGCCGCTGCCGGACTGCGCGGCGCCAGGGCAGAATTGGAAGAGGTCCTCGCCGGGCGGCTGGCTCGCCACGCAGACACCCAGGCAGCAGCAGCAGCAGCAGCAGCAGCAGCAGCAGCAGCAGCAGCAGCCAAGGAAGAGTATCTGAGGCCCGCTGGACACCGTAGTGCCGCGCCACAGGCATTCGCCAAGGAAGTGCTGCGGAAAGACGGGAGACCAAGGAGGAGGATGAGGAGGGGGGGAGGCGAGGGAGGAGGAGGAGGAAGAGGAGGAGGAGGAAGAGGAGGGGAAGGACGGGGAGGAGGAGAAGGAGGAGGAGGAGGAATATTGACACGACGCTCAAGTTCGCCCACCGAGATAAGGAGGAGGAGGAGGAGGAGGAGGAGGAGGAGGAGGAGGAGGAGGAGTAGAAGGAGGAGGGGGAGGACGGTGAGGATGAGGGGGAGAAGAAGGAGGAGGAGGAGGAGGAGGAATATTGACACGACGCTCAAGTTCGCCCACCGAGATAAGGAGGAGGAGGAGGAGGAGGAGGAGGAGGAGGAGGAGGAGGAGGATACTAATCAGTGTAAACCTAAGGCTCATCAACGATATTGGAGTACACCTCCATCCAAGCACCTCTTCATGGGCCACTACAAAGGTTCGTTCCCACTGAGGGACATGCCCCGCTGAGGACAACCGCGTGAAAGGCCTGACGCGTGCGCAAATTGAGGGCGGTTCTCGCTTCAGCGCCGCGCACATTCGCTTCAAACAACTGCAGAAGTCTCACTGGCTCTCCTAACTAACGTGCCAGACATGGTGTTTGGGAAAGGCTTAGGATTGTCAGGGCGCAACAATTATGTTGACCAGCGGTGTTGACGTCCAAGGAATGGTGTTCTGGCACGATTCAGGATGGTCAAGGCGCAAGAGTCAGGTTGACTCGTGGCGTTGAGCTTAAAACAACAACAACAATCTTAAACATGAAGGGCGGCCTGCTTCCAAACCGTGGCTCTCGCTTTAGTGCCGCGCTTGTGGGTTTATGTGTACATGCATGCATACATACGCACACCCATACATACACACGTACACTCGTACATCCACACACATACACATATATACGCACACACATACAAACACACATCCATACACATACATACATGCATGCATAGACACTTGCACAACTCCTTGTATGCATACATAAAAATATGCAAACACACACATACATACACACATGCGTACACACATACGTCCATACATATACATGCATACGCATAGGCATACACGCACACATACATGCATGCATACGTACATCTATGCACGCATACACACAACTCACACATACATATACCCGTGCATACATAGCTACACACATACATACATACATACATGCATACATACATACATACACACATACATACATACATACATACGTACGCCCATTGTACCATGCCTATATTCTTATGTACATGTATACCTACTTACCCACCTACCCACCCACCTGCCTGTCTACCTACCTACGCACATACACACATATACATACATACAAACATACAAACATACATACATACATACGTACGTACGTACGTACATACATACATACATACAAACACACCACATACATACATATACATGTACATTGCAATGATTCAGGCCTTCACGGATTGAGGGTGTGTGGTTTTCAGAACGTGGCTCTCGCCTCAGCGCCCCGCACATTCGTGTTCAGAATTTGCAAGTGTTTCATGGATTGGGGGCTGGCCATTTTCAACACGGGCAAGAGCCTCACAGAGTGTGGGGGCGGTGGCTTTCAAGATGTAGTTCTCGCCTTAGCACCGCGCACCCGCTCTTCCGACTGGACTCGGGGTGCGACAGGGAGGATTGTTGATAAGGAAAAGGAATAGAGGAGGAGGAGGAGGAGGAGGAGGAGGAGGAGGAGGAGGAGGAGGAGGAGGAGGAGGAGGAGGAGGAGCGGAGGAGGAGGAGGAGGAGGAGGAGGAGGAGGAGGATGAGGAGGAAGAGGAGGAGGAGGAGGAGTAGGAAGAGGAGGAGGAGGAGGCTAAATAGGGGGAGGGATAAGGAGGAGGAGGGCGAGGAGGAGGAGGAACAGGAGGAGGAGCAGGAGCAGGAAGGGGGAGAGGGCCAGGGCGCCACCTATCAGGAGAACCGTCCGCAGTCCTGAGTTCTGAGGGGGCGAGGGGGTGAGGAAACGAGGAGAGAGGAAGACTTTGATGCTCTGATTTGTTGTTGAGGTCGCACTTTTGAAACTACTCATTGTTGATCCCCCCTGTTAGGCGTGGATTTTTGCATTTTCCCGCCAGACCTCTGGGCGTGAGTGTTATAACGAACTCGTTCTGCGAACCCTCTTCTTCCCCTTCGGGGAGGGGTTCCCCCTCCCCCTCCCCCAGTATGGGCTCGACCACAAGAAACCTGCCACAAGAAACCCAACCTGAGACCCCAGAACGTCCATTGGTTTTTGGTGGGGGAACGTCACGCTTTCCATGGTAAGACTAACGAAACCCAAGAAATCCAGGGCACCCTGGAGGCAAGCAGGGCGTGTCTTGGCATGGGTCTCCACTGTAACTCCCCCTGGTCCTCGCCTCCCTCTTGGCCACCCCCGAACAGCGTGCCCCTGCCCAGGAGAGCCCAGAATCGAATCGATATCTCGGATCGGCGGTCGAAATGCATCGGGCCAGCGGAAATCGGCAGCCGAGTCGGGAGAAGTCGGCAGGAATCGCCAGGCTAGTATGCCTCCGATAAGAAATCATCGGAACCCAGATCGGAATCCCAAGTCGAATCGAGTCGGCACCGGAAGCCATCGAAGTCGAATCGAACCGAGTCGGAGGAATGCAAATGAGCCCTGACAGCGTGCCCCTGCCCCCCTGCAGCGACCGTGGGGGGCGGGGCCCGCCAGACCCCCGACGTCGTGATTTTTGTTCGCAACGTCGACGCCCAGAGGTCTGGATCCCTTCCCCGGGACCGGTGCTTCAGCCTGAATCGTTTTTTGACGGTCCCGAGGCCCGGTGTGGGCCCCCGAGGGCCGAAAATGTACAGTGGGGGCCAGTCCACAAGAGACCTGCCACAAAAAACCCAACCCTGAGACCCCAGGACGTCCGTGGATTTTTTTTCGGTGCGGGAGCGTCACGCTCTCCATGGCAAGACCATCGGAACCCAAGAGACCCAGGGCACCCTGGAGGCAGGCAGGGTGCTTCTTGGGTTAGGTCGGGCCTGTCCCCCTACAGGCCGATTTTGGACGAAAAATCAAACATAGTCAAAAAGATACCATCCAAATCTCTCAAAAAATGTGCCCCAGACCATCTTTTGACTATTTTTGAATATTCCCCCTGTAGAGGGACGGGCCCGACGTAATTCTTGGCATGCGCCCCCGCTGCAGAACAGCCTCGCGCCGTGGCTCTTTCGAGGCGCGAGGGGGCCCGGGCCACCTGCAACGACTCGCGGGGGGCGGGGCGCGCCTCGGTGTCCCGGATGCGGCACGAGAGCGGGTCGGGTGGTAATGTCAGGTCGGGCATGTCCCCCTACAGGGGGGCTTTGGGCGAAAACCACAAAACATAGCCAACACATACTCAACACATGCCCCCAAATAGTCAACAAAATCGTCCCCCTCCTATTCTTTTAAATAACCATTCTGGAATGTTCCTCCTGTAGAGGGACAGGCCCGACTGGATGGTAATGGGGGGTCACCCACAGGGGGGGCGAAGAGAAGGGCCCTGAAGGGTCCCTTCTGGGCCCCCGCTGGCTCCCAAAGGGGCCCACGGAGCGCCCCTCGCAGGGCCCGCTTCTTAGCCCCCCCCCCGAGGCCCCCGGCGTCGTGACTTTTGTCGCAGCGCCGACGCCCAGATTCCCGCAGCCCTTCCTCGGGACGGGTCTCTCTCTGGCCATCGCTCGGACGTCCATTCCCTGTGCTTTTTTCGGTTTCGTGCGTGTTTTTTTCGCCAGATGGTCGAGGATGCTCCTCGAAGGTCCTCGCCGAGAATAAAATGCACACGTCCGAGCGATGCCAAGCTCATCCCGAGTCGTTCCCTGACGGCCCCGAGGGCCAGGAAGGGCCCCCCGAGGCCGAACCTGGCGAGCGGCCTCCCGTCGTGCTCCCTTCCTTGCTCGAGAGGGGGGTCCGGGTGCTGATTCCCCCCCCCCCCGTAGGGGGCCCCACGCTGCCACCCGCCCGACCCCTGCAGCCACCCTGGGGGGGGGGCGGGGCCCGCCTCGGTGTCCCGGATGCGGAAGGAGAGCCGGTCGACCACGTCGTGCATGCGGGCCTCAGCAGCGCGCGGCCGGGGGCGCCGCGGGCAGCGCCCCCTGCGGGGCTCGGGACCCTCCTCATCCTGGTCCACCTCCCTCCCACCCCCTCGCGTCGTGAACCAAATCTCGGCGCGAGGTTTTTCTATGTTTTCGGCCTTCGGGGGCCTACACCGGGCCTCGGGACCGTCAGAAAACGACGAACCCGTCCCGGGGAAGGGTTGCAGACCTCTGGGGGTCGACGTTGTGAAACAATCACGACGCCGGGGGTCTGTGTCCTCATCCTGTTCCCCCTCCCTCCTCCTCTGCCTTTTTTTGACGTTGCGCGGGCATGGATCAGATGATCGTCGCGTCTTGTGGCCGGGGGAAAATGAAGAGGCCGACTTGGGCCTAGGGTAAAGCAGATTAAATTGGCGGGCGCAGCGGGCAAAGAGAGGCAAAACGAAAACGAAGAGTTCCTCCTCTTCCTCCTCGTCTTTCTCCTTCGCCTTCTCGTTCTCCTCCTCCTTTTCCTCTTCCTTCTCCTCCAGCATCGCTCCACCCTCACGGAGAGGACACGGCAAGCATATGAGCAGAGAGGAGGCAGAATGAAACGGAGGAGGAGGCGGAGAAGAAGGAATGGGAGGACTGAGAAGAAGGAGGAGGGAGGAGGAGAGGGGACGAGAAACATGACGACCAGGAGAACGAACAGGAGGAGGGTCAGGAGGAGCAGCGGCAGCGGGGCAGGGAGGGGTCGAGGAGGAGAGGGGATGGCGAGGATGCCGAGGCCGGGGGAGGGGGATCCACGCGGGTGCTGCGAGAGCAGGGGCAGACGGGCCAGGACGGGGACGGCGGGATCGCCCACGGGCTCGAGGCGCGGGGAGGGGGCCGAGGAAAGGACGCCCCATGCCCCCCCCCCCCGCCGCGGTGAGAACCCCCCCTGATGGTGATGGTGATGATGATGGTGATGATGATGAGGATGATGATGATGCTGATGATGCTGATGACGATGGTGGTGATGATGATGATGATGATGCTGATAATGATGATGATGATGCTGATGATGCTGATGAGGATGATGAGGATGATGGTGATGCTGCTGATGATGATGCTGCTGATAATGATGATGATGATGCTGATGATGATGCTGATGATGATGATGAGGATGAGGATGATGATGATGATGATGATGATGATGCTGATGGTGTTGGTGATGATGATGCTGCTGCTGCTGATGATGATGATGATGATGATGATGATGATGAGAAACCATCATCATCATCATGCCATCGCTCATACGTTCCTTCCCCGCGCAATTTCAAATATGGTGCGCGCTTGGGTTCGCGACTTGATCCGGGATGTGCTCCTCGAGGATACCCGCCGGGAAAAAAAGCGCACGCGTCCGAGCGATATGCCGAGCCCCCCGCGAAGGCCCCAGAACGCCCCCGCTGCTCCACCCGACCAGCGACAAACTAGAGCCAATGCGGCCCACCCCCCCGTCATCCCTGCCCTCCCAAAATGCATAATTCGGGGATGGACAGAGCCCCCTTTAGCAAAACGTGGCTTAGTGAGAACGACCTCGGGCCCAAACCTGGCGGGCGCAAGCCTGGGAAATGACGGCCGCGGCGCCCTCTCGAGAACTGAAAACGGACAATTCACTAATTAACGTGTCAGGCTAAGGGTTCTGCCCCCCCCGAATAATAATGCACTTTGCGGTAAAATCTTGAGCCATGTTCGGTGGCCCCGCGAGCAGTTTGTATCGCTTTTTGACTGGTGCGGCGGGGGTGCTAGCATATGGCCTGCTGTGCACAAGGCTAACATCACTGTTCAACAAAAGCGATGCTAAGTGCACGTCGCGGCTAAGTCTGGATCATGCGTGGGCACTCCACGATCACTTTGCATGAGTTTTGACAGGGGCTGCGGGGGTGCTGGCATATTGCCTGCTGTGTGCAGGCACACCAGACCTCATAATGGCCGCTCCGCCGCGATTGCGCGTTGGCTTTCGAAAAATATGGTGGGGCCAACATGCTTCCCGCTGTGCGCGGGCGCACCTTCCACACTCTGCGCGTGCCCCGAACGTGGCGCACCTGGCGCGGCTGGAGCATGCGGCGTACTTGACGCACGCGGAGCACCTGGCGCATCTGGCGCACCAGGCGTGCATGGCACGCTTGGGCCCAGGAGCGCCTGGTGCGCCACGCCACTGGTGCACGTGGCGCGCCTGTCGCGTGTGGCGAACCTCGCCCCGGCGCTGTGCACCTGGGGTCTGTGTTGGTTCCCAATGCTGAGGCTCGGGTGCTGGTTATTCCCCAATCAGACCTTGCCTCTGTGGGGGTCCTGCCGGATTCATATGGTCAGGTGCGGTGGGGCGACGATTTCGGCGGCACGCCCGGGTGCCCAAGTGCCCGGGTGCCCCAGTGCCCGGGTGCCTGGGTGCCCCAGTGCCCAGGTGCCCGGGTGCCCCAGTGCCCGGTAGCCCTATAACCCTATAGCCTTATAGCCCTATAGCCCTATAGCCCTATAGCCCTATAGCCTGATAGCCTTAAAGCCCTATAACCCTATAGCCCCATAGCCCTATAGCTCTATAGCCCCATAGCCTTATAGCCCTATAGCCCCATAGCCCTATAGCCCTATAGCCCTGTAGCCCTATAGCCCTATAGCCCTAAAGAGATTCTGATTGTTTTTTCTCCAGCATCGTGTGTTCGGGGGCGGGTGGGAGTGATAACCTCCCAGTAGGACTTCAGGACCGCCGACAGGCCCCCAATGCGCCTCAATAATGCCCCAAGAAGCTCTCAAGAGGCATCTGAAAAAGACCCCGAGAGACATCAGAGAGGCCTCTGGCCTTTCTGTTCGCCCTCCTCCTCCTCCTCCTTCGAGCTTCGAGCTGTGGGACTTTGTCTCCAAGAATGGGTTCGGCCCTTGCGCCCCCCCCTGGGTTGGGGCCAGATGGCGGCAAGACAACCAAGAGGTGGAGCGAGAAAAGGAGAAACCATACGATGACGAGCGTGATGAGGAGCACCAGATCCGTGCCTGATGGGGGCGGAAGGCGAGACTGTCCGCGGCGGCCAGGTGCGCGTGGAGGTGGTGCCTGGGCGCCAGGCCCGGGCGCAACATCAGTGGGCGGTGCAGGCGGGGTGGGTTGGTGGAGCGGAGCCGCGGCGCAGGGCCGACGAAGCCGGGCGCGCCCCGAGCGGTGGCTGCAGTGGCCGAGGAGAGGGTGAGCGCAAGAGGTGGGAGCAGGTGGTCAGGGAGGTGGAGGGGGCGGCCAGAGCGGGACGCCAACCCCGAGGGGAGGGTGAGGGTCCCCTCGGTGTGGCTCCTAGGTGTGCGGCACCTGGTCCACGGCCGCCGTGGGGGCTGTCTTCCCCCCCCCCCCCCACGGCGGCCTGTGCCTCCTCCTCCTCCTCCTCCTCGTTTTCCTCATCCGCCTGTTCCTTCCTCTTCCGTCCTCCCTCCTCCCTACCTCCCTCCCTCCCGCCTCCTCCTCCCTCCTCCCTCCTCCTCCTCCTCCCCCTCCCCCTCCCCCTCCCCCCCCCCTCCCCCTCCTCCTCCTCCTCCTCCGCTCTCCTCCTCCTCCTCCTCCTCCTCCTCCTCTTTGGGGTATGACGGCTTCCCCATACCTTTCTTCCACCGCATGCTCCTCCACTTCCCTGATCAGGGCAACTTTCCTGGGCATCGTTTCTGGATGGGCTGGTGGGGTTATACACGTCGCGTCTAGAATAGGAGCAGGATGACGAGGAGGGAGAGGATGATCAGCAACAACAAGAACAGGAGGAACGTGAGGACGACAGTCGGGCTGCTGAAAGAAGGAACGATCAACAAAAAACGAAGCCCCTTTTTGACCCCACAAGCGCCTGCGTGCACGAGGAAGGCTAGAGGAAAAGCCATAGAAGGACCTAAATAATATCGAGCCCCTTTCTTACCCAAACTGTTCCTCATTTCAGCGACTTGGCTGTGGGGGAAGTCGGAAGTTGGGGAAGTAGGGGTCGACGACGACGAGGGAGGAACCAGATCCAGCAGCGTGGCCCGCGCTGGGGCGAGAACACCACTCTGAACGACAGGAGCAATGCGCCGATCCCGGGGCACAAACGCCGCGGCGGGATATCGCAGGCCTTGAAGGGCCGAGAGCGGTCCGATCGAAATTGCTTGTGTGCATCGTGTGTGTGTGTGTGTGTGTGTGTGCATCGCATGTGTGTGTGTGTGTGTGTGTGTGTGTGTGTGTGTGTGTGGGTGTGCATCGCGTGCGTGCGTGCGTGCGTGCGTGTGTGTGTGTGTGTGTGTGTGTGTGTGTAGGTGTGTAGGTGTGTGTGTGTGCTTCGCGGCTCAATTCGCATCCGTACGCCCTACACACGCCCTGTCCGCCAGCGCAGGCACTCTGCCTAGCCGCCGACGCAAAAGTGTGTGTGTGTGTGTTTGTTTGTTTGTGCGTGCGTGCGTGTGTGTGTGTGTGTGTGTGTGTGTGTGTGTGTGTGTGTGTGTGTGTATGTGTGTGTGTGTGTCCCTCCCCCTCCTGCATGGTGGCTTAATTCGCGTTTCGTGCACAGCGGCGGCAGACCAAAAGAACATCAGGGGCGAGGAGACACCGTTCATTATATGGTGCAGCGGAGGAAGAGGGGGGCGAGGAGGAGGAGGAGGAGGAGCCGCAAGATGAGGGCTCTCCATTTTTCTTCCTTCTCCATCGCTCTTCCTCCCCTCCCCCCCTTCACCCACTCCTCCCCATCTTCCGAATCCTGTTCCCCAATCCTCCCCCTCCTCCTTTCCACCCTATCCACCCCATCCACCCCCTCATCTGCACCTCCAAGCCCCCCCCCAACCCTCCTCCCTCCCTGCGTCGCCATCGGTCGTCGCTCAGCGCCTCGTCGCCCGCCGTCGGCCGCCGCCGCCGGCCTCGTGCCGTCGCTGCAGTCTCAGCGCCCTCGGCCGCCGTCGGCCGTCGATGGTCGGTCGTCGCTGGTCGCCGTCGGTCGCCGCCGGCCCGTCGTCGTCGTCGCTGTCGTCGAGCGGCAGCACCGCCGGGGGCGCGACCGGATCGTCCGCATGCCGC